CTATATCAAATGCAAGGATTATTATTATTATTAGTTGTGTAATACCTTCAAACAGGATTTTAACGTGATAATCAAAATGGAATAAAAAAACATATTCTCTGGGCTTTTATTATGGTCATTGGGCTCTAAGTGAAGAGATTTCATTTCCATTCAGCATCACACCAGCACTGATGAGTCTCCAGAGTGGAGCTCGTTCATTCCACACTGCAGTTGTCCACTTCATCAGTATGATCAAGAAACCAGCTAATGGAGAAAACGACTGGAGCAGCCACAGCCCAGAGTGGAGACACCACCATTACGCCAAGCCTGTGGAGGGGTGGGGAGTTTCTGACCTTGGGCTGATGGATGAATCAGCGCTGCGAGACACCATCCAGCTTGAAGGGCGCTATATAAATGCAAGTTGTTGTTGTTGCATCTGAAGAATTCTCCTGGTTGCTGCATTCTTGTTTCTGATCACAGAGATTGACACTTGGGTGCAATTAGAAATAGGATGACATTTTATCTCAGTCAGTTTCCTGTGAATCACGCCGGTTGAGCAATATTCAAAGATTGCCTACATAATACACAGTCACTACACTCCACAGTATATGCTGTGAAGTGATTTGAGACAATCTCCTGACATCAAATGTAATATTATTTATTATATTAAATATTTTAAGCTGGGCCCTAAGATCAAATCACAATGCTGGGCAGGGTGTTCAGTTCCACAATTCAGTCTATAGGAGTGGATGGAAAAACGTGATGCTCCATAACACGTTTGATGTGTTAACTATCACATCAAAGCTGTTATGAAAAGTTTTTCACCCTTTTATCATTTTCTCACCGTTGCGCTTGACAAAGTTTACACATATAGTCTTTGACATTTCTGGTTTAAATTATTCAGTATTCCTCAATTATCATTGCACTGAAACACACCAGTATTTTCTAAACCTAACCAAGCCAGAGTCCACTGCAACACGGCTGAGGCACTACGGGAAATCCAGAGCAAGTCGGCAGCTGAACGAGAAAAATAGGTGAGAAGTTCAGGGGGAAAACAAACACAAATCTATCTTTCTTTCTGATTCTGCTCTGGATTACCATCATTTCAATTTTTTTCTCCAGATTTGCTGCATTTGCTGGTTTCTTTGTCTTCATATTTAAAATATTGCAGTCAATGCTTCAAATATCACATCTATTCCTAAAGACTATCTGTGGAATTGAGTATCCAGCACTAGGACAGATGATTGGTGAATATAGGCCGACACTTGTTATAACGCACTTCAGTATAGTCCAATCGCTCGGCAGGCCAGCAGTATAGTGAAAGTGCAGCACATTAACAGCTTCCAGCGCTGAGTGGCCAGATTCCTGCACTTTTCTGCACTGTGCAGGAAGTGTCACTGACGGGCAGGAAGTCATATTAATGGTGACCTGAAGTACCTAGAAGCCATCCCCATTATAACGGGGTCTGAATTTATGGACTCAAACTACTGCATTATTGTGGGGGGGGGGGGTCAGCCTGTACTTACATACTGCAGATTGACCTTTATACAAAGCTACTTGGTGTAGGTCTGCAGAGAGGACAGTACACCCACGCTGTGCACCTATACTCAACAGCATTGTATAAAAAGCTGCAGGTTATATCAATGTAGCTTCTATGTCTTTCCATATATAAAGGGGTGTAAGGTTAAGCTGTTTTAAAATTCAGAGGCTAAAACCCCTAGAGTACTGCTAATTCCTTCTGCTTTGGGGGCAATTAGTCATTTTAGGTAAAGGTCACCATGGTCTGAAATCTTTATCTCTTTGTAAACTGTATCCAGATTGCTGAATAGTTTTCCTATTATATGAAACTCAGAGTCTGAGAAGCTCTTTCACTCTGAAATGACAACGAGTTAAATATTTATAGGCATTATTTTAGGAGTGCACAAAATTTATCCAGAGTTCAAACCCTGTTCCATTCTGAAACGAGAAGGATTTAAATATTTATAGGCAAATAGTATGCACTTTATCTTACATTAGGTCAATATACCTACATGTCAGTCATAGTAGATATGCATTGTAGTAGCATTATCTGTGTGTCTGTATATATGTGTAGATGTGTGTGGCTTTATTGGTTCCCAAAATTAAGATTTATTTTTATTTTCTACAAGTTAATGGAACAAATTATTCTGAATTATTTCAATCCTACTGCTGCATTACACTGAGCTCAAATATCTGCGTCCATTCCACCTGTAGAGTTGTATCAACCCACTCCCTTCCTTCCCTAATATAACATATACTCCCCACTCATGATATAACACTCATCCACTCCCCTCCATCCATAGTGTAACACACAAACTCCCCCTCCTTCATAGTAATAATGATAATCTTTGCATTTGATATAACATCTATTGCCTCATTGAGATATCTCAGGATATACTGTAAAATGCAGTGACTGTATATTTGTGAATGAAGCCAATCTGCAACATTGTCCCACAAAGAGTCATGAAGTGAATGACTAATTTTATTTAGAGGATTGTTGGCTCAGACGCCAGTAGAAATTCTCTTTTTTTTCCAAATAGTCTTTAATGTCCTGAACAAGGTTACAAAAGATATACAAGTTGGAAATAGACCACTCGTCCCAACCTGTCTGTGCCAGTGTTTATACTCCACATGAGTTTTACTCATTTCTTATTCTCTCCCGTACCTTTCTACTCCCCTCTCCTTCATGTGAAGGTCAAGCTTCCTCTTAAATGCATTTATACTATCTGATTCAACCACCATTTCACGCAACTAGTTCCACAATCTCATTACTTTCCTCATAAAGCAGTTCCTCCTAAAAAGGGGCTTGGTTTAACATCTCATCCAAAGGATGACACTGGAGCACGCCACCAGCAATAGCACTGCAGCATCAGCCTAGATTGTGAGTTCCCAAAGTGGGGTTTGAGCCGACAACCTCCTATCTCAGAGGCGAGAGTCCTACCAACTGAGGCAGGCTAGCATAAGGCAGATACTTCACTGCAGAATAACACAAAGCCACATTTTGCACTCCATACAGGATTTTGCATTGCAGCTTTAGGTAATGCAAATGGAATTGGCTCATTCTGAGAGTAATGAGATGTGTGTAAAAAAAATGTAACTGTGAGGGCAACAGAATCAATTTTGATATGTAAATTATTCAAAAGATAAGGGGATGGAAAACGCAACTTGTGAATGTGATAATTACTACATCGCTGAAAACTGTTATTGCTTGACTGTCCTCAGTCAGAGTGAAATTTCAGAACTTTGGCTTTGACACCACAGTCGGTACCACTGGATAGATTTAAGACATAAAAAGACCCAAGGTTTGAAGATGGTGAAATCACCGATTAGGTTTGTTGGCTGAAGATACAGGTGAGGCACTGAAGGATTAAAGGATTTTCCCACTAGCCTGTAAAGTTTCTGTGCTTTTCCTACCTGTTCAGGTACACATTAAATATTCCATGGCACTGTTCAAAAAGCGAAAGAAGTTTTTTCCGAAGTCCTGGCCAACAATCCGTCAGTTAAATTGGTCATGGCTCTATGTGAGATAATTCTGTTCGAAAATTAACTGCCACAATCACCTACAAATTCAGAGTCTACTACCATAAAGTGCTTGAGGCATTTTGACACACTATATCAGATGCAAGAATTATTATTAAGTCTGTGCTGGGGTTTGCTTGAATAGTGAGAAAGGTCACAGCAAGATTGGGAGATGGAGATGAATTGGTAAGGCACAGGGAACACAATATACAACTGGATCATGGATTTGTGAATAGGCGTTGCCATCTACTGTAAGAGCAAATATTGTGGCTACAAATGTACAATCCAGAAGTCCAATGCTTGACTGCTTATAGTTTCTCAGCATGCTCTTTGAACCATTGATAAGACTGCCAGTGTGGCATCTGCCTCAAGCACACCCAGGGACCAGTGGATGTGCTAATTATCAGAAGGTGGCTAAATTCATTGCACATCAGTGTATGTCTCTGTTTGGCTCATACCTATTAGCCCAACCCTGATGTGATTTTCCTGAGTTGTCTCCCTGGTTTTGAGCTGGGGGTGAAGACTGCCTCAGCATCACATTCTCCTCCGAGCGGAAATTATGCAGTCAGTTCTCCACTGCTTAACTATATAATGTGCTAATTGCAGGTTCACTTCAAACATTGCTGCAAATGTTTGCAGAACAACCTTGAAATTGCTTTATGTGACCGGTCACAGATAACAATTTTCCCCATCAACAGCGCCTCTGGAAGGTTGTTAAGCAAAGCTTTCGAGACGTACTTACCAACATCTCCACTGCGTCTGAAAAATAACATTTCTGCTATTGTGAGTCATGAAATTGCATCTAGGAGACGGCATAAAGACAATCAGGATTAGAATTAGCTGTTCCTATTCAAAACTACGAGATCCCTCTTTTTAAAAAGAAGCTCAGAAAATGTAATTATTATATGACCCAATAAAAAAGGAACGTTTCAGATTGCATTCAATACGATCTGGAGCAATCTCTCAATCTCATACTGGCAGATGGATATTTAATGAAGGCAAATGTAATATAATAGAAGTGTTAAAAATGAAGCAGCAGACTGGGGCAGAGTAAGCAAGCAAGTTATCATGATGTTGTTTTCTGCAGAAAACAGCCAGCTGGATTGCAGTCATCACTGCCACCCTCCATATTTACAACAATGAGGTTGTTCTTAAAAACGTTTCTCAAGCTATTCTGTTGATGATTCTGATTTCAGCCCTTTAAACTCAGTAGTTATTTTGAACTATCACGTGATTGCATTTTGAGGTCAGAGAGTCTGGACAGATTGTTCATCAGGCGGTTGAATAAGAGGGGTAGAATTAAATTGCAACCGCTTTTGGAAGAAGTGGGATTAGTGGGCTGAACAGTCTTTTTCTCATCCCTTAGCTTTCTTAGGTTCTTTACGCAGTTCATTAAAACTTGCTGCTTGAGAATACTGACCCAATCTGCTGTTTAGGTTTGAATACACAGACCAATATGTTTACTCTCTTCTTTCAATTTGCAGATCACTGTCTTCAGAATGGGTTCAGAGGGTCACCAGGACATCGACTTAGCCATTCTAACAGCACTCCTGAAAGGTAATAGAATTCCCCAGCTGCATCCTCGCTGTGACATGTCACTCTCGACAGGTGCTGCCTTGCTGTGCAGCACACTGTTCTTAGCAGCTTACACCACACGAACAAGAGACCAGTAAAGTGAGCGCTCACAGCTATCAGCCATCACTGCCAGTCACACCCTCCATATTTACAGCAATGAGGTTATTCTTAAAACTCATCTCTCCTTCGACTGTTTTGCTCATTCTGATTTCTAATTTCAGTGATATAAGCTTCCGGTGTTGTTCTTTGTCAAGAATGCAATGGACTAGCCCTTTAAACACAGTAGTAATGCCTACCTTTAAAAATAAATGAAATGAAAATTGGGATGTTAGGATTTGTTAACTAATACCAGTGGTGTTAATCAACACAGGTATTGAAGTTGTGACATTATAGATCATTAACACGTTGACTGAGCTTCGGCTGTGCTGGAGGCAGATGCTCCCAAGCACTCTTCTCGGTGGCCAGCCTACTCACACACTGTACTCCGACTCTGGGACCACAGAATTGGAGTCTGTGGAGTCCTGTAGCATATTGGTCAGAGGATTTGGCTTGCAAGCAAGAGGACCTGGGTTTGATTCCTGGGCAGGGCGAAACCTTAGGCAAATTTCCTTACTCCACACGCCTCTGTTTACCTAGTAGTAAGTAGAAACGCAATTGTTAGACGATTGGCAGATCGTTTTCCAGGGGTAATAATCCATTCAAAAAAATTTTAAAAAAAATTTGGTTCATCAATCCACAATTGTTTGTCTATGCTGTGCGCAATTGGCAGCTGCATTTCACCCACAAAGTATAAAGTCAATTAACTTTCCAGTTTATTCTGTGAAGTGCATTGAGACGTCTCAATGAAGTGACAAATTGCTATATCAAATCCAAGGATTATTATTATTATTAGTCATCACTGCCAGTCGCACCTCCCATATTTACATCAATTAGGTTATTTTTAAAACGCATCTCTCAATCTACTCCTTTGGTCATTCTGATTTCAGTGATTCAAGTCTTCTGTGTTGTTAAGAGAACACAGCTCTCCACTTGGTAACTGGACAAGTTGGCTGCCGTGTTTCACCCACAAAATATACAGTCAATTCACTTAACAGTATATTCTGTGAAGTTCTTTGAGATGTCTTGAAAATGTGATAATAATAATAATAGTAATCCTTGCATTTGATATAGCGCTTTTCACGTCAGGAGGACGTCCCAAAGTGCTTCACAGAACACACTATAAGGTGAATTGACTGTATATTTGTGGGCGAACGCGGCAGCCAATTGCGCATAGCAATTTCCGACAAACAGTCGTAGATTGAAAATGACCAATTTATTATTGTTTTTGGTTTTGGAGGGATTATTATTAGGTGTGTGGAGTAAGGAAACTAGCCCAAGGTTTCGCCCTGCCTGGAATTGAACCCAGGTGTCTTGCTTGCAAGGCAAGTGCTCTAACCATTGAGCTACAGGACTCCATCATAAGGTGCTATATCAAATTCAAAGATTATTATTATTATTGTTAAGAATGCAATGGACTAGCCCTTTAAACACAGTAGTAATACCTACCTTTAAAAATAGATTAAATGAAAATTGGGATGTTAGGATTTGTTAACTATCACCAGAGGTGCTAATTAACACAGGTAGTGACATTATAGTTCATTAACACATTGACTGAGCTTCGGCTGTGCTGTAGGCAGGTCCTCCCGAGAAATTCTTCCCTGCAGTTTTACTCACAGGACAGTCGCACACTGGACTTCCCGCTTTGGTGATTAGCAGGATACCATCTTGCCTAAAGAAACCAATTCACAGTTTTGTCAATAATCAGTTGACGACCAGTCCAATACTATGTAGTCGAATTATACCTGAACAATCTTAATTGTGATTTGATTTTATTAGAGTTAACTTCAATAAAATGCAGTGTAACTAGTAACAAGCTTAGGGAGTCCTGTAGCTCAGTGGTTAGAGCACTCGCCTCACAAGCGAGAGACCTGGGTTCGATTCCCAGCATGGCGAAACCTTGGACAAGTTTCCTTACTCCAGACGCCTGATAATAATCACTCAAGAAAAAAAAACATTCATAATTTGGTCACTCAATCCTCAACTGTTTGTGGGACGCTGGTGTGCACAATTGGCTGCCGCATTTCACCCACAAAATATACAGCCAATATATAAACTTTTCAATATATTCTGTGAAGAGCTTTGAAACATCTAGAAGATATGAAAAGCATTATATCAAATTCAAGTATTATTATTATAACCAAGTCACCCTGATAAATGAAGTGTAATAGCCTGACATCATATCTGATTTTGCTAAAAAGATATTTTTGGCTCTTAAAAGTATTTGGAAGACAACTGTTCTAATTGTTATTCAATACAATCCTTTGATGCAGTATTGTAGAAAGTCCTGGCAGAAACACCTGGGTTTATATAAAGATTTCCATAAAGCATGCTCTTAGATTCTTGACAGTCTTTAATAAGTGTCAAAAGGGAACACACCAGGGAACACACACCAGGGAATGATGGTGCTTTAAAAAGTTAAACTAAGGCTCTGTCTAACTGTTCAGATGGACGTTAAAGATCCCATGGCCCAAGGCAGTAAAAGGGAGTTTTTCTAGGTGTCCTGGCCATCGATCCCCCAGATAAAATTGGTCATTGCTCATTGACTGCACAAAAATACTACACTCTACGGTAAATTTTGAAAAGCCCTTTGAGTCATTTCGACAATGTGATAAGGGCTATATCAAATGTAAGGATTATTATCATATCTACACACACAGCTAAACTCCCGCTTTCACACCTCCCGCGGGTGTTAAAAGTGCCTGAATGTTGCAGACACAGATATCCAGGCACTGCCAGAGCATCAGCAGGACTCATCTCTGAATTCTCGATTGTATTACCAAAATCCTTACTTAGCTGATAATATTACTGTGTATCTGCCGCTGATCCTATTTGATGCATTAAATGGGGAAAACGTATTTTATTTGTGAATGCTCCCTTCTGAAATTCTGACATTTGTGTCTCGCACATACACAATGAACTGATGTTCATTCTCCTGGCCAACTCCAGACCGCGCAGCACTGCACCAACACTTTCCTGGAGCAGGGGGAAAAAAAACAGGTTGGGGCTTGATTATACTACACAGGCAATTTGTACTCAATTTTACTCATTTGTAAAACATATGTCTAATTATTGTAGAAGAGAAACAGTCTAATAATAGCAATTGCTATTGTAGTTTTTTTTTCTAATTCTAAGCTTCCACAGTGAAGACCCTGGAGAATTATATGGGGACGTAAAAATGTTTCATGATGACTGCTCCCACGTTCAGAACATAACATGCTGAACTGGAAGCCACACTCTGAACAATTACAGCTTGTCAGAGAAGGGCAACCAATCCGGAGTATAAAAAAGTGTTGCATTTAATTAATATCTAATAGTAATGCAATGCAATAAATCGCAGGGGCATATACAGGAGATGTCAATAATGCGAAAAAATTGATTATACTACACAGAAAATTTGTACAAAATTTTACTCTTTATAAAGCATGTCCAATTATTGTAGAAGAGCAACAGTCTAATAATAGCAATTGTTATTGTAGTTTTATTTTAATATACAGCCTGGACTGTATATTAAAAGCTATTAATAACTAAAATGTATAATGTCCATAGGAAACTAAGTGCGATAGAGTGGAATGGCACCACTGCTGTATCACCGAGGTGTTCTGGTACAGTATGAGATAACATAAGGTGTACTGTGGGAGTCACAACAACAAATTGCATCTGTATAGTGCCTTTCACAATTGTGAGGAGGTGCTGGACAGTTGAAGGTTTGCACCCAAGATGAGGGTTGGATTCATGAGGAGTAGGGGCCAAGGAGGGGGAAAAGTTGACCAAAGGTGCAATCAAAGAGAAAGGTCTTCAGACAAACCTTGAAGGAGATGAGGGAAGGGTCCAACAATTTATAAGATTCAAATGCCGATGTGTTGTGGCTGATCCTCTTGAAACTCAGATGAATCCTATCTTCACCGAGACCAAAGTCTGAGGTGTCAGACTGACTGTGGCACATCTGGGTTTCACTATTTGCCAATCCTTTTACCAATCACCCACAATTTAAACAGTGCAGTGATTTTTTTCTTTGGTTAGCCAGGTATCTGACACTCGTGGAAACCCATCACCAAGCTTAAGAATAGCCTGTATACTGTTTGTATCCCATTTCCTAATCTTTCATTCCATTCCCAAGAAAATATTAACTCTATTTGAAAGAGCCAATTGACAAATGCTGTAGTTGGATCACTACTCAGTGAGGATGGTATTTATAGGAAAGGGGAAAGGAGGCAGGCGGTGTCTTAGTGGGGGCAAATTGGCTCCACTGGCTCCACACCTGGAAGCCAGCCAGATCTCCAGTGACCTCTAAGTCATCGTTGAAGGTTGTCTGGCTCATTAATGGGACTTGGAGATGTAGGTAAGTTTTCAAACCTGCAAGACAAAGCCCTGATACCTAGGTGTTACAAACTAGACGCGTAATGTTATGTGCTGTGTTGTTAACACATGTTTCTATATGAGTTTGACCATACAATAACAGTATAAATTAGTCTGTTCCCATTTGTTGGGGGTATGTAACCAGGCGATACAAGTATAAGATAGCAACTCATCATCAAGGAGGAATACTTCACTCAGATGGCAGTGAGATTGTGAAACTCGCAGCCTGTACTAGTGGTTGAAGCAGATAGTATAGATGCATTTAAGTGAAATCTAGACCTTCATTTTCGGGAGAGGGGAATAATAATAATCTTTGCATTTGGTATAGCCTTTTATCACATCAGAAGGATGTCTCAAAGCGCTTCATAGGATTTACAATTAAATGGAGTGAAATTAATTTGTAGACAATGAAATTAATTTGTAGGCAAACTCAGCAGCATAATTGCACACAGCAATGTCCCAGAACCCGCCATGAAATGAATGACCAATTTTATTTAAATAAGATTAGAATAGAAGGGTATGGGAGGGAGTAAGGAGTGGGTGGAGACTCATGTGGAGTATAATCACCATCATGGTCTGGTTGGTTGAGTGGCCTGTGGTAACATTCTCTGTAAATCTTTGAGAGTGGTCAGTAAGAACACTGTGCTTCCTAACAGTGTGATTAAATTCCATTTAACAACAGCACTTTCTTCTTTCTCCCTGTAAATAGGAGCCAATGCCTCAGCGCCAGATCAACTCAGTCTGGCTTTAGCTTGGAACAGAGTCGACATTGCTCGGAGCCAAATCTTTATATATGGACAACAGTGGCCGGTACAGTAGACGTTGTTACTCTTCATTGTCCTTCCATATTACCATCTCATACTGATCGCCCATTAGTTTTGTATTTTGAGACTTTGTTCCTTTTTACTTCCTCTCTGTTGACCAGCTCCTGCGCCAAAATAAAAATGGCTGACTTGATATCAAGTCATTGTGTCATCACTGGCATCACTTTTTGTATGCTCCACACATGGAATGCAAGTAGTGAATGTCAGCGACGATCTATTGACCTGGAATTCAGACATTTTTAGTGCCTCAGAAGTCAAAATGGTGGACTTTCAGGTCATCGGTCTTTTACCAACATCAATTCCTGTATCGTGGACCCAGATAACTGTGTTATAACAGGATTGCCTTGTAATAACAGAATTGTGTTTTAAATTGTTTAATTTCATGAATTTTCAGATTTTTAACATATATATGCTGGAATGCATTTAAATTAGCGAGATTGGACATCTTTCCTCTTTTATCTTGATGTTGTATCTTCACTGTCATTTTCTGGGATTCACCTTGTGTTGCTCTGATATTGTTCCACCTATGATAATCTCAAGCCTATATGTATTTGGGATCAAATGGCTTCACTTAGTTGTAACAACAGGCTCCAGGCTGCTATGAGCTTGATAGAGACCACACAGGGTTCATTGTTGACCCTCCGTAAGCCTGGAGACATTAAATGATCCGGTTGACCTTGTTCTCCCTTAGTCTTCAGACCACAATTCCTCACATTGCTCTATTGCTCTGTGACGCATAGTTCCAGGCAACCATCCTCCTGGAACCTAGGACATTGCGTTCACTATAACTTGCAAACACTTAAAGCAATTAAACACAATGACAAGACATTCCTCATATCTCTAAGGTAGCTATTTTGTTAATATTGATTGACGGATGTTCAACTCATGATAGCTCACACCATCAGAGTCACTGAACCTAAACACCTCCTCGCCCAGGGTGAACAAATTTACTTTTTCTTCATGCAGTCACTGGAAAGATAAAGATCGCTTTGATCAGTAAATATTAACTAGTCTTGTTAATTCGGCTGGTTTGGGGGAGGCTGCACTGTTTTTTTGGCATGGTTATAGTACAGAAATCCTCAAACAGCGTTGTTCTCAAACAACAGAAGGTGAGTCACCAAAAAGTGTTTGATTTGGAGATAACTTTTGTTCTTGCTGCATAGCTTGTTTGCTATTAATTGAATAGAAGTTACACTTCTCATTGATTGATTACATATTCAGCAGCCAATTGAAGTTAGAACATCAGAGCCAAAACACCACTGTGCATTAATCACTCATACAAGAGAGTTCGAATGAAGAAGGCCCCTTGGACCATTTGATCTCACCCTTCCAGAACAGCTAACCTGCTGTCCTCCCATTACATCATTACAATGTTCTAAGTGAGTCCAGTGTCCTGGCCTCAACCACACCTTCTGGTAACCTGTTCTACTTGTTAATTACTCTCTGGCTAAAGAAGTAGTGTTGATCATAGCATCAAATCACTCGGGCTCAACTACCATGTACCATGCAAGCTGTCAGCCTCTTCCATATAACACTCTTAGGCTACCTTTAGCTTGCACCTTTAGGGCTATGAGAAATGTCATGAAAGTGGAGGGGCTGACAATGAAGCACCAATCATCCTGCCACCAACACATTACTGAGCAGGATTACTATTTCAGCAACTCATCGTCAAGAAGGTAAAACAAACGACGGCCTAAACCTAGCTCACATTTCCTATTAATAATAATCTTTGCATTTGATGTAGCGCGTTTCACGTCTTCCAGAAGTCTCAAAGCTCTTCACAGAATATACTGTAAAGTGAATTGACTGTATATTTGTGGACGAAATGCGGCAGCCAATTGCACACAACAGTGTCCCACAAACAGTCGTGGATTGAATAACCAAATTCTTATTGGTTTTTTTCTTGAGGGATTATTATCCTCAGAAAAGTGATCCGCCAATCAATTAACAACCGTGTTCCTACTTACTGCTAGGTAAACAGAGGCGTGTGGAGTAAGGAAACTTGCCGGGAATCAATCCCATGTCTCTCACTTGCGAGGCGAGTGCTCTAACCACTGAGCTACAGGGCTCCACAGTGGGTGAACAATGCAATACTTGGTGAATCCTGTTTCACAATGATTGGATGAAGAGTTGACATCAATGTCATGCCATGCACAATGTCATGCAGTTTTATACACAAATGATCAAAATGCAATGTCATTATGAAGGCTTGGCCACCACAAGCCAGGTATTCCTGGGCTGACGTTCGATATCTCTTACTTAAAACCCAAAGTCAGATACAGTACCAGCTCTCTCATTTTGGCAAAGTCCAGCAAGAGTCTGAATTTTCCTGAATGGAAAAAATCATTCAAAATCTCCATCCTGTCGCAAGCAAGTCTTGCCATTGGAATTATCCTTCTGCAGCACTAAATGATGTTCAAGGCCCTTGTAGGTAATTTTGCCATCTTTTTGTCCTTGTGTTTAAGTGGTGCACAATGTCATGCAGAGTTTTATATACATCGCGGAGAAAAATAACTACTCCTCCACCTTTAATCCTGTCTTTAACAGGACCATGTGGGCTCGTCCCAACCTCAGTGGCAATGTTGGGGTCCAATTTGCAGGTTTGTAAACCACGTGTAAAATGCACGTGGACAAAAGGAATTGCAAGTACCCTTCCTTATTTAGTTAACGACCTATGAAAACGATTAAAACTTTCACTAAACGGGATAGTCCAGCGGAATCTTTTTGTGTACGGTATTGTGTTGCTTTCCATCGTCCTCACAGTTTTATGTTTCTATTTATTTTTATTCGGGTGGAGGGTTCTATTCCTTTGCAGTACATTTTGCAAAACAGATGATGAAACAGTGGAATCCTTGTTTCTTCAAATCCTAATTTGACTCCAGATCCCTTTTATTTTTATGCAGTTTCAATGTTTGGTTTTACGTGATGCATTTAAAACTTAGGAAACAGCGTCCTCTGCAGATTAATAGTAGATTGCTGGCAAGGTGCATTAAAGGCAGGCGTACATGATTGTCAAACTTTATCTTGATCGTAGTCGGTGAGAAATTTTTGAAAACAGTCTTAAATCCAGGGTTAATTTGGAAACCAATTTTCCACAATATTGTTTAACAACTGCATGAAACCTGCTTCCAAACTGAGACAAAAATTTAAGAATTTTCCAAAATTTTCTGCACAGCGTTAAATTTTAAGATGATGGCTTAAGGTTAAGACTTTGAAGATTTGGAGCCTCAGGAGTTTATTACCCTTAACAATAATAAAAATAATAATAATCCTTGCATTTGGCATAGAGTCATCATCAAGACATCTCAAAACTCAAAGTGTTTCACAGATTATACTGGAAAGTGGATTGACTGTATTTTGTGGATGAAACCGGCAGCCAGTTTCCACACAGCAATGTCCCACAATCAGCAAAGGAGGGAGTGATCAATTTTATTTTGGGGGATTGTTGGCCAAGATGCCAGGAGAATCTTCAATCACTTTTTGAATAATGAAATAGGATGTTTAACATCCACCTGAACAGACAGACAGGCCTTTACGTCGCATCCGAAAGACGGCACCTTCAACAATGCAACACATCCCCAGCACTTAGACTATGTGTTTCCAAGTTTCCTATATGGGACTTGACCCCACAACCTTCTAACTCAGAGGCAAAAGTGCTACCATTGTGCCAGACTGACACACGAAGGTGGTCACCAATCTACATATGGAGTCCTGTAGCTCAGTGGTTACAGCACTCGCCTCTCAAGAGAGAGACCTGGGTTCGATTCCCGGCAGGGCGAAACCTTGAACAAGTTCCTTACTCCACACGCCTAATAATAATAATAATCCCTCAAGAAAAAAAATAATAAATTGGTCACTCCAATCTATGACTGCTTGTGGGACACTGCTGTGTGCAATTTGGCTGCTATATTTCGCCCACAAATATACAGTATACAGTATAATGTTTCACTTTACAGGCCCTTGGTGAGACCGCACCTAGAGTATTGTGTGCAGTTTTGGTCTCCTTATTTAAAAAAAGACGTACTTGCCTTAGAGGGGGTGCAGCATAGAATCACTTGGTGAGTTCCTGGGATGAGGGGACTGACCTATGAGGATAGGCTGAATAAACTAGGGCTATATTCTCTAGAGTACAGAAGAATTAGAGGAGATCTTATTGAAACATATAAGATTCTTAAAGGGCTGGATAAAGTAGACACTGAGAGACTGTTTCCCCTGGTAGGAGAATCTCTAACCAGGGGTCACAGTCTTAAAATTAAGGGTCAGCCTTTTAGAACAGAGTTGAGGAAACATTTCTTCACTCAGAGGGTAGTGAATTTATGGAATTCACTACCCCAGAAGGCTGTAAATGCTCAGTCCTTAAACATCTTCAAGGCTGAGACTGATAGATTTTTTAAAAAAATAGAGGGATTAGGGGATATGGGGATAGGGCAGGTAATTAGAGTTAGGTCAGAAGATCAGCCATGATCTTATCGAAAGGCGGGGCAGGCTTGAGGGGCCGAATGGCCTACTCCTGCTCCTAATTCTTATGTTCTTATATTCTGTGAAGCACTTTGAGATGACTGGAAAACGTGAAAAGTTTTATATCAAATGCAAGGATTATTACTATTATTATTATGAATAGTAGTACTACAAATGAGGAATTTGGGGCATTAGTTGTTAAGTACTGCAGGTTGCAAAATACCACGTCACCTATGAAGCCATTGCAATTTTAATGCAACATACTTGTTTTTCAAATGCGGGGATTGCAGGAAGAGCACCGCAGAAAAGAGTATTACAAGAGACTTGTTTAGGAAGTTTGGTAGTGGAGACTGGCCTGAGACTTTTATTTGCCAGCAATTATGAAGTCACAACACTTCCCAGTAAAGTTCTGTGTGAAGCACTTTGAGATACCTTGACAACGTGATTATATCAAATGCAAGTATTATTATTACGTTTTGCAGGAGAATTTTTTTTGTGCTTTTATAATTGTTTCACCGTGTCCCATCATGTACTTGTCTGTTACAAAACATATTTAATTTATTCAATCCACCGCCAAATTGAAAGCAAATGCTGGAAAATAATCTTTGGAAAAGATTCAATCTGGATAAAATATCACAGTCTTTTATGCTCAGTATATTGCCAACGTTACACACAGCAGGTATAATGACTAGTAAGTGCTAAAGTACAAGCATATAATTTTATCGTACCAAAGCATTTGACAAGTAGAATTTAGGATGCCTGACTGGGACCATGGATGCTTCCCACTTGAATCCTGTTAATCCTGCAAGCCAAATTCCCAACAGGTAGGGTGGACCTCGCTGGACAAGCAGTGCGAAAGCTTGCCGGACAGTGATGTCAATGGCAAGCTATGCAGTTTTAGCTGGTTAGACTCCAGCAGTTACCCCAACGCACACTCTGAGGTCCCCATGTCTTGGCTCTTCCTAACTGTATATTTTCACCCACAAAATATACAATCAATTTACTTTACAGTATTGTCTGAAGTGCTTTGAGACGTCACGAAGACGTGATAAGGCGCAATATCAAATGCAACGATTATATTATTATATTATATTTAATTTGCACCTAAATCTCTGAAATTAGGTAAGCAGAATATGTTCCTCCAGGGAGAGAGTATGCATTTCATTCCAGACCCAGAGAAATTTCCATGTGTAGGTGGAATACATAGTGGAGCGCTCAGTCTGGTTTGGATACTCCTAAGCATAGTGATGGGTCTCAGACACACGGCTGACCATAAGTAGTGGCTGTATTTATAGTCATAAGTAGCAGCCATTTAGCCATTGTGGCAATCAATTAGCATCAATGGGATAGAGTAACTTACTCTCATACAATCAAGAGGTACATTGTGAGACATTGAAGTTTTTGTTGTGTTCTAGGTGGGATCCCTGGAACAGGCCATGCTGGATGCTCTGGTCCTGGACAGGGTGGACTTTGTGAAGCTGCTGATAGAGAACGGTGTGAGCATGCATCGCTTCCTTACCATCTCTAGACTTGAGGAACTCTACAACACGGTAAACAACTTACCAAATCCATGTCAGCATCTGTGGATTGGGTCTTCGTGTGAACCCTTTGTTGAGGACTTCTGAGCGGAAAATATTTCCCATTAAGTTTCTTAAGTTAAGCGCTCCGAGATACCATCCGGCATGAAGGGCTCTATATAAATACAAGTTGTTGTTGTTATTGCAAGTTGCATCGTAATACCTAATAAGAGGCAGTGGTAAAGTGGCAGTGTTCTCAAGTTGAAACTTTCTACTATTTTTGGGGTGCCTTGTTCTGCAGTCATCCAACTGCACTTAGAGATATACATGACACCTTCTTGAAATGTTGAACAGTTCAATTCACTTGATCCATTTTTGAGTCTGGCGTGTTTCATATCCCTATTATTATAATCTAAATAAAATAACCTAGTGCTCGCCATGGATTCTGTTACACTGAATGTCCTTTTTTTTTTACAGAGACACGGGCCGTCAAATACTTTGTACCAATTGGTCAGGGATGTCAAAAAGGTAGGTCAAGGTACCCTGCTACTGGTAGGTCAGAGGTTATAATATTTAGTGGATTGCTATTCATCAATATTTCATGTGGCAATCATGCATCTCATGTGTTAGCTTCAGCTTTTGCTTGGGTGAAATTAGTGCTTATGTCAGTGAGGGATGTTAAGTGATTGTAAACCGGGACATTTCAGGCATCCAGTGAGCACTCCCAGGTCAGGTCAATAGAGGCAATATTGCAGCTCAGAAGAGTCCCTCCTCCTGCACCTATGTTACACCTTGTTTTCATTTCCTTGTGGATCTGCTCACTGAGATTGTTAAATATGGGGCAGTTTTATTCTGTGAGCTGCTAGTTGAAACTGGGTTCAGACCACCTAAATTAATTTCATATGGGACACAACGTACTGACAAGGGACCCTTGCGCCTACTATTGGAACCACACATCGACCATAATATTCATGTTACTAATATATGATGAATCCAGGATCCAATGGAGGAAACAGTCAGATTTGCAAACTTAAGTAAGCTGAGACAGGAAAGTTTTCGGTTGTTAGAAGATAGGGTGTTTACTGTTGCCTGTGTACACTATTTTACTCACCGCTCCTTTGCATGATGTTTTTTCATGTTCCATTCTCTGTAACACTGTGACTCTGCTTATTCTCATTGATGTTGATGTCATTTTAATGGATCTGTATGATCTAAACAATCCCATAAACCATTCTTCTGTGGAGTTAACAGTAGAGGCATTCGGAAGCAGAAACAAAAATTTTTGTCAGATAATGTCTAGTTAGATCAACATTTTATTCATGACTCTGCAATGTTGTTAACATGGTGTAACATTGCAAAATGGAAATATTGCAAGCATAAAGTGTGTGTTCACAGGAATTCCAACTTTTTCTTTATTGTCTGAGTTTCACACTTTTTAATTCATTTCATTCATTGTTCAATCTGCATATTGGGTCTCGTAACTTAAACTACTTGGTTTCTGTCTCTTTCTATCTGAGCCATCAGTACAACCAATTCAAAAACAAAAGGTCCCCCATCTTTATTACCATTTAATGTACTATAGTCCTTTCTAAGACATCTTGTAAACTAGTTGAATACTGAAACATAAAAGGCTTGAATCAATAAATAAAGAGATTTTTTTTAAATAATAATAATTTGGTCACTCAATCTATGACTGTTTGTGGAGCTCTGCTGTGTGCAATTGGATGCCACATTTCACCCACAAAATAGACAGTCAATTAACTTTACAGTATATTCTGTGAAGCACTTTGACACGTTCCAACGAAATGATAAGGCCCTATACCAAATGCAAGAGTTATTATTATAATTAATTCTATTTTCCTGCTAGTAACCTATTGCATGTAAGATCCCAGTGCTCTTTATCAAACATTTGTGAAACACAGTAGAGAAGTACATTGAGTTAAACATTCCTGATGGCTCAGTAGTTAGAGCCACTGCCCAGTGAAACCTGCTCAAGTCAAAGCAGCACTTCCTCAGGACCACACTGGATAGCCTTGATGTACGTCTCAAACCTACAGCCTTCTGACCCAGAGGCGACAGCACAACTAACTGAGCCAAACAAACACTGCAGCATAAGACAAACAGAAAACATTAAACCTTACCCCAGCAAGAGTCATTGTTTTCAAGACAGGCAAAAAATAGGATTTCATCCATTCAAAATAGATAAGTGTATAGACTAGATTTGCTCTTTATTCAGTGGATGGTAATGGTTTACACTTTACAGTACCACGTGTCCTCATTATTAATACTCGAGTACTCTCCCAGTGCATGCATTGATACATTGGATACATTACTGCTCCCATTTAAGCTGTCTATTGTTATGTTAAGAGATGATGCAGTTAAATATTAGTTGTTTTCTCTTCATGAATTAAGAATGACTAAGGTATGTTTCCTGTCATCTCAGTATTTTACATTAACAAGGGCTAGTTCGTAATGAGGAACTGGGTTATTCTTTTCATGTTGATTTCTCATTCACTTTTCCATGTTCATATACCTCTTGTACAAGCACTGTATATGTTCATTTCATTGGGCTTCTGAGGATATCAAGCCAACTTTCTTCCTGTCAAGAATTACAGATAAATTCAGGATTACCCGGGTCAAATTAATGTTCAAATCTAACCAAGGGAATAAGAAGCATTTCAGAATATTAGTTATTAAAATGAAAGAAAAGAAAATGATATTAAAACAACCATCACTGGAGTCCATATCACACTTAATTCTCGTTTTAAAATGTAGTAAGATATTTATCAACATTTCTGGACAAAAATCATCCTCTGAATTGAGACAAATTCCAATCAAAATATTAACAGGAGATGTCTTATAGTGGTATATAAGATTTTAACTGGGATTGAGAAAGGAAGTCCATAACAATAATTTCAGTTAACCAAAGGCATCAGAACAATAATGTGCAAGTTTCAGGATTGCAAAGGGCAATTGCAGGACCTACATCAGGAATGATTTCTTTGCACAGAGGGTAATTAATGACTGGAGTGGATTACGAGGAAAATATCTGAGAGAAGGACACTGGACTCATTTAAGAACCAGCTTGATACTGTGATGGGAGGATAGTAGGATGAGTGTTCTGGAAGGATGAAATTAAATGGGCCAATGCACTTTCTTTGCCCAAATCTCTCTTTTGATCTTGCTGTAAATTTCCAACTAGCAACGTTGGAAAAAATAAAAGCTACAGGACTATTACTCCTGAAAGTAATACTCACAAAACAGTGCTATTGCAGAGAGCTACATATCATGAGCTGGCTGGAATGACGGTGCCCAATTTAGAGAATTGTTTGTGCAGGATATTTGCTAGCATGACCTGCCAAGCTACTATCATTCAAAGACGGCTATAAGAATGACTTGTTTTGTGCTGTAAAATGCTACAGTTACTTATTCAAACTTATTTGTTCTCTCCAAGCGAGAATATCAAGCTTTCAGTTGGATCTATTTTCAGGTGAATTGATTAAAGCTCTGCTTAGTGATTAAACATGTTGCTTATTAACCTAAAGTTAAAACAATAGAGTGAACAATCTAGCCAACAATGCAGCTGAATAATACATTCAATTTCAAGCCACCACCTAAACTAACTCCAATGTTAATTAATTAGCCATGCACGCTGGTTTCATAACTGTTGTGTGAAACGCTTTGAGACGTCCTCCTGATATGAGAGGCACTATGTGTATATAAATGTAAAATTGTCACTGTGATTGTAAATGCAAAAGCTCTTTGTGCGTTTCATACTCTTCAGGGGAACCTCCCGCCGGATTATAGAATGAGTCTCATAGACATTGGCCTTGTGATTGAGAACCTGATGGGAGGTGCCTACAGATGCAATTACACCCGCAAAAGATTTCGAACTCTGTATCACAACCTGTTTGGTCCAAAACGGGTGAGTAGTCAATGAGTGGAATGCCAGATCTTATCTGGTAACAGGAGGCAGTGAAATGTGACCTCTTTGTATATCGATCGTGGTTGTGCCAGCTACAAGCTTCAGTGCTTGTCTCTGAAATCCAATCCAAATGCCTCCCCACCCCCCCACTCAATCCCTGAATCAGCGCTACTCAATTTTCAGGTCAGTCCCAAATTACTAAACTCTAACATCACTGAGGAAGAGCATAGTGTGATCAATGCTTGTCACCTGGTCGATCGTTCACTGGCAATAGTGCCATTTTCTTAATTCCCTCTTCCCATCTTTTCAAATCCAGAGCAGACTGGTGGAGTGAAAGAATCTTGTAGCATTTGATGAATTTAAGACTCCAATGTGAAATGCGTTTTTCCAGTCCCAATCTCGCTGCTGTTGTGCATGGCTTACCACCTTGAAACAGCTGAAGATTCAGCACTAAACTAATGGGAACCCATAAGGACAATTGGTGTGTGAGATAGAATTGCACCCTAGAGTAAAAAGCGTGGAATTTCAAGCCTCCAGTTTATCATCTACTCCTCATCATTGCATGAAAATGTTACCAAGATTTAGATGCAAACTATTCCCTTGTCATTCGCGTTTCCTCTTTCTCTATTGTGTGTGTATATTATATATATGTGAAAAAAAGAGAGGGAGTCACAAGCCTATAACATAGCAGAAAAATTGATGGCAACATCATCCACAAGATTAAAAAATTGTGACTTGGATTAGGTTACCAGAACACCAGAATTGTTTTATACACTGTTACATTTGCAAATGTGTTGTATCTTACATTACACAGACGTGGGCAGCTACACTCTATATAATAATGTGGGTGTCTTACCATGTGAGTTGTCCCCCCCCCCGGTTTTGTCTACCCATTGAGTTTTTCTGGGAAATAATAATGTGCTGGTATTTAAGAGGCATTTTAAATTTAGAAATGCCTTAACTGTTAAATAGGAATTATTCACCTGGGTCAAACGTGGTTCGGTGCTCTCCCCCCACCCACTTGTCTACTTTGAGCCCATGCTAATGAGAAGCCTGGTACTCCTAGACTCCAGTGTTGACCAGCTGACTTTCCCACCTTAAAACAAGGCACACTTCCAGGTCACTGCTGTCATTACTTCCTGTGCATTCTGCACTTGTATGTTTGTACAGGAAGTGCCACTGACATCACTATGAAGGAAGAGATGTGAGTGGAGCTTGTCGAACGTAACACGTAGGAAGCGATGTCAACGGCCACCTGACGACCCGGAAGTCATCAATTTCTTGCGCCTGTTTATGTTGCTGGGCCTGAGATATTCAACCCAGTCAGCTCGTTTTAATAGGGTTGCCTGTGTTGTACTTGCAGTCTTAATTTATTCAAACAGTTCAGAAATTACTGCTGGTTCCCTCACTTATATCCTGTGGTAATTTAGTGACTACAAATTACAAGCATTCTAATGTAATTGAATGCAATTTTACTCATTTAAAAACTGGTTTGAAGGGTAATATGGCAGTAATTTGTATATGAAATAGTCAATAGGCTTTGGTCAATTTGTATAGCTGGCTTTATATGGCTATGAGTTGGGCCACCCGAGGCGCCAAAGTCCACTGTAAGACATATTTGTCTTAAAATTTAAGAAGGCGAAGAATTATGTACATTTTTTCTATCCAGTCTTAATTGGACATTGATTCAATTTAACAAACGGTGAAAAATCTGCTTTCCAAATTAAGACTGGATTTAAGAATTTTCCACAATTCCATGAGATCTTGGGTTCCAAGGGAAAGTGGTCTTACTAGATTCCCTGTACATACAAAGCTAAAATCAGCAAAGAGCCTCCTGCCCTATAATAAGATCCCTGACTGTTAACTTACTGTCCGTGTTGCATTGAAGTTACATTGTTCTTTGTGAAAGTAGCTGAAGGTCTCATCCCTTAACCTGATTGCACAAATGAGTAGGATCTTGGTGACTAAGGTGAGCAGGAGTTCTAACAATCACAATGCAAGTAGTCTGTCTCAAAGAAGGTTATTGCTAATGATTTATTTTATACCATGAAAGCAGAACTAGAAGGCAGACTTAAAATTAAAAAGTCTCGATTGTGACTATAGATTAGAAGAATTATTTTTTCCCAGTTTAATGGATTTGCAGAACAGATTCATCAGAGTACTTAATGCAACATTGATTGCTCCATCAAAATAAATCACTGGATTAAGCATCTTCTTGGGTATTTGGTGCTAATTGAAACAGTTTATTCAGATTGAGGTGAACAAACACTACATGAAATACTACAAATACTACATCTATGGAGAAAGGAAAGTGAGTCAACAGTTCAGGTCCACTAAATATTCTGACGAAGGGTCATGGACCCGAAACATTGACTCACTTTCCTTTCTCCATAAATGTCGCCTGACCTGCTGAGTGTTGCCAGCGACTTCTGTTTTGGATTTTGGAGATTTTTCTTCATTGGCCAATTCAGAACCTTTTCCCATGAGTGAATTCCTTGTCTTAAGAAATCCTTAGAAACATGACCAATTGGCATTTTATCGCTCCTAGCTTTTTTATGTTCTCATAGCTCATAGCTCAAAATTCATCAAAACAATAAATGGTTTCATCTGAGCTCCATGATCAGACATTTGGACCTTACACTGGTATACAGGCACAGAATATATTCTATATACATACACACCTGAGGAATATTCAATGTGATCAATATCAAATAATCCCTCCAAAACCCAAAACAATAATAAAGTGGTCATTTTCAATCTACGACTGTTTGTGGGACATTGCTGTGCGCAATTGGCTGCCGCATTCGCCCACAAATATACAGTCAATTCACTATACAGTGTGTTCTGTGAAGCGCTTTGGGACATCCTCCCGAAGTGAAAAGCGCTATTTCAAATGCAAGGATTATAAGGATTATAAATGTATCACAATATTGTTCTGTTTCAGCTCGTCTGACTGAGGAAGCAGGTTTGTGTTGTCCTGGGGCTTGTTCACTGCAGATGGCACACAGTCACATGAGGGCAGTTCTTAACAGGCTATGCTCATACTCCATTTCTTTCACTTCTGTTGCTGCCCATGATTTGTGTGCTTCAATTGTACATTAGGACATTGCGTCAAGGGCCGCATAGCAATAGTTATTGATTACTAATGCTAACAACACTATTCATTTTGGCTGGGTCCATCAGAACTCTATCAAGAGCAACAGTATGACAATCAAACCATCACATCTTAAAGGGGCTGTATCATGTTGGAAAAGAATCTTAAGAGATAAAGGGATCAATTTTGCTGTATTTATTAACAGATTAATTAATTAACAAATCTGAGTGGGATCACCATCCAATAACTGTCAGTATGTGATGCATATCCTTACAACTCGAAGGACCACTATTCCAAAAAGAAATGGGAAATAGTTGTAGCAGTGTGAGTTGAGAATCACGGATTTCCAAATTTCTTATTAAGGAATACCCCAAAACTGACACCAGAAACTGTACAGGACAAATCAGGATTCACCAACACAGCCAAAGTCAGGAGTCTGTAGTAACTTTTACAATGCTCCTACTCTGATTTTGAAAGTCTCATTTATTTTATTAAAACATTTTACCAGTAAAAAGACACGGTGACTAGACAACCCTGTTGAGTTTCTATCCTGTAAGGATTCTTTGCAAGAGTCTTTAAGAAATAATGGACTAAGTGTGACAAATTGCTTCTTTACAGTTTTCTAAAATTCTGCACGATTTTACATTTCAAAAGGCAATTGTCTTAAAGCTAAGATCCCAAGGTATTTCAGGCCTCTGACTATCTCAAATAACAGAATAAATTATTTAAAAATAATTTAAAATAGCCACAAGTTTCTGAGTGGCACTATAATTAGAAGCCAGTATGCCACATGGTTCCATGAAAGACATCTTAGCCTTATTTACATTTAAGAGCTTTGAAAACACAGAGTTCTTTCAATCCAAAAATTCTGCATTGAGACAATTTATTAGTGTAAATCTAATTGTTGACTAAGGATATGTAGAATCCAGGATTACAAATGATAGTCTTCGTACTGTACCTGAATCTCATCAATCTAGTAAATGCCGGTTCACTACAATGAACTCTTGGGTGCTGAGTGTTAAACTGTAATAAATAGGCATGTACAAAAAGATGCTCATCTTTAAACCTTCATCTTTCTTATTGATTTCCTGCAGCCGAAGGCTCTCAAACTTCTGGGAATGGAGGTACATTAAGACAATCGATTTGTTTCCTTTATTTGAGGATGCTAAATGCACTTTATACAACAGGGGTTTTGATAGTTCCTACCACGTAAAGCACGATTGTCTTCCTCCTTCTCTGTCCACCACCACTGCCAAAACTCTGCAATGTTACATGATAATATCCCCTAGAGCCAACCAGGTGGAATCAAGTGGGTAAATTTCACTTCTGTAAAGCATTTGTTTTAAACAAAATCCTTTTTTAAAAAAACCTCTCTATTTGAGCCAATGAGCTGAATGTCCACACCAGTTCATTGACTCACTATTGATTGTGCTCGTAGAGCCTGTAAAATTATTGTTTAATTTCTCATTTCCCTCCACCACCACCCCCCCTCTCCACCCCATCTCTGGAACATTTGAAATGATGGCAGCCACATCTGGAGAGAAGTGAATGGCAACAAACAATGGAGAATGCTGAAGCAAATTATTTTTTGTTATTAATTATCCCAACCTCTGTTGTATATCAAATACACAGTTGAGAACAGGGGAATACTCAGTCCAATTCCATTCTTCCTTCTGACTTGGTCACTGGTGAGTGAAGGGCGTTTGCTGACTGGTGAAGGAGACTGGGTGTAGCTCTGTTCTCCACTGGGTAGCCTCGATGTATCTGAACTCTCCCGTTCTAGCACATTGTGCTTTGTTTGCATCCATTCCATAGCTGTGTTTCCGTGTCACTGATGTATTTTTTNGCTTATTATATCCATCCTTAATCCTTTTGTCATTCATTCGTACATGTCAACCTTTTAACTTTGTTCTTTCTGTTCACTTTGTTTCTGGTAAGACTTTGGATAATGTAAAAGAACACCTGGCTGTTTCCTTTTGTGTTGTTTTGTGTTGTTGGTTTCAATACTTATTACCTTGAACCCTTGTTGGATTTGAAGGAATGTTTAGAAGAAATCTGTACTTGTCATTCTTTAAACATTTACATTTGCCACTGAGTTAAGTCATCTCCAGATAGTAAAGTGCAATATCAGAAGGTAATGTCTTAAGTATTCAGCTGCCTAAACAGCTATCCGGCAATGCCTGAATATTACGTTAACTGGGTTTTAAAAAGACATTGGGGTGACATGAAATCTGTTGAAATCACATGAAATCACATTGTGGTCACATGAAATCTGTTATGAAATGTTGGAAATTCTCCCCCATTATTTCTGTGATTTTGCAAAGCAAAATGGTGACTGTTTTTCAGACTGTTACCACTGAAGGAGAACAGCTGTATATTAACCCAGAAAATTCTGTCAGAAAATGCATCAGAAAGGAGAGAATGTTGTGTTGAGATTTATTATAATATATTCTAATGTTATTGCGTATTATGCCAATCTCAACCAAATTTTAGTGCTAAGATGAGTTCATGAAACAATTGGGCAGAAATTCCAGTTGGCATTAAGGGTAGTGTCTGCCAGTATTGAGATTCAAAGCATTATAAATCCAACCAGAATTTCAGCCCAAATGTTTGATTTAGTTAATGTTCCCTAAGTTACACAATACACAGCAGCCAACAGTTCGACACTCCAGTGTTGCAAGAACAGTGGGGTCAAAACATTTCCTAACAGATTTGATGTGCTAATTATTCTACTGAATCTGTTGTGAAATGTCACAGATAGCTGCATTGCAGTGTATTGCAGAAAATCAGCCTACAGTTCAGTATCACTCAAGTTTGCCAAGCCATCGTGGCACTAAACCAGACAGACTGCATCCTGATGAGTTGAACTCTCAAACAGAACAGCAGATCTTGTGAAGCTAACATTCGCTCAGTCTGTTCTCTTCTAAAAATGACCAGGAAGAGCCACCCTTGCGAAGAGGAAGAAAGACGACAAAGAAACGAGAGGAAGACGTGGACATAGACCTGGACGATCCTGAGATCAATCACTTCCCTTACCCCTTCCACGAGCTGATGGTGTGGGCAGTTCTAATGAAGCGCCAGAAGATGGCGCTGTTCTTCTGGCAATATGGGGAGGAGGCCATGGCCAAGGCACTGGTGGCTTGTAAGCTCTGCAAAGCGATGGCTCACGAGGCGTCTGAGAACGATATGGTCGATGACATCTCGCAAGAGTTAAACCATAACTCCAGGTCAGTGGGGTCTGTCAGATAATCAAAGGAAGGCATTATAAAGGGGCGTCAATAGCAACCTGTGATGTGTTAACATATCATTAAATGTTCCTGTTGCACATAACTAAAATCCTGTAGCTTAGTGGTTAGAGCACTCGCCTTCCAAGCGAGAGGACCTGGATTCGATTCCCGGACAGGGCGAAATCTTGGACAAGTTTCCTTACTCCATAGGTCTCTGTTCAGCTAGCAGTAAGTAGAAACCCGGTTGTTAGTTGATTTGTGGATCACTTTTCCAGGAGTAATAATAATAATCCTTGCATTTGATATAGTGCTTTTCACGTCTTCTAGACGTCTCAAACCGCTTCACAGAATATGCTGTAAAGCTGTATTTGTGGGCAAAACGCAGCAGCCAATTGCGCACATCAGTATCCCACAAACAGTCATGGATTGAAAATGACCAATTTATTATTGTTTTATCTTGGAGGGATTATTATTAGGCGTGTGAAGTACGGAAACTTGCCCAAGGTTTCGACCTGCCTGGAATTGAACCCAGATGTCTCCCTTGTGCTCTAACGATTGAGCTACGGGACTCCACAATAATCACTTTAAATAAATTTTGGTCACTCAATCCACAACTGTTTGTGGGACACTGCTGTGGGCAATTGACTGTCGGGTTTCACCCACAAAATATAATCAATTCACTTTACAGTATATCCTGTGAAGCGCTTTGAGACGTCACGAAGACATGATAAGGAGCTATATCAAATGCAAGGATTATTATTATTATTATTATGGACGGTCACCTCTACCCTCCCCCCAGCTCGGTGGCAGGCTCCTCCACTATTAAACGCTGGGAGACACTGACCCAGGTGAAGGGCACTATATAAATTCATGTTGTTGTTGGACTAGCCCACAGGCGTAATCTCCTCCCACCCTTGACTTCATCACATTGGTGGAGCATGAAGCCAGCCAACATATGGGATTTGACTCTCAGTTAATATTTGTTGAGTTAAACCAGTATCCACTTGCCCAAAACTCATAAGCCACCATCTGTGTCAAATGCTTGCTTCAGTGAGAGTTGGCTGAGGGGATGACACGGCAGTTGATTTCTTCAGTTATTGACATTTTCAACGGCAGGTTTTCAGCAGGGTTTCAATTAATAATAATCCTTGCATTTGATATCGCGCCTTATCACATCTTCGAGACATCTCAAAGCACTTCACAGAATATACTGTGAAGTGAATTAACTGTATATTTTGTGGGCGATATTAACATGTCACAGGTTGCAATTTATATCCCAAAGAGAGCAAATACCAGTCACTCAAAAGGCTGCTTACTTATGGGGAAGTGTGATGCTGTAACTCCAGACTTGCCTCTCAAATCTTTATGTTATTTAATCATGTTTGGTACCATATGGCGAACGTGCAGGAAAATGCAGGCTTCACAAGTCATGTGTCTTTAACACTCTGAAGTTGACAGCTATTCTGTATCTGTAGCAGATGCACAGGGTGTTCACAAAGTCCTGTTACCCCCATGATTTTTTTCTACAGTGCACTGACCAACAATTGAAACATGAAAGAATGATGATAATGGTATTTAGAAATACATAATTGTATTCAGTACAAGTGTTTAACTGTATTTAGGCATCCAGAGGATCAGTGTGTGTGAGCGCCATCATTTTCATGGCAGATAATGATCCATGTTCAGTGCCACAACTTCCTTAACATGGATGAAGTCACGAGGAAGTCACTGGTGTCACACATTGGTAGACTCGACTCATCTGCAACAGAAAATAAAAAATCATTGTAGAGAAAAACAGATGGAGGGTAACAGGACTTTGTGAACACCCTATAGAGTTGACAGTCGTTCTTTGTCTCTACTCAACCACAGTTGGCAACTTTTCTGTATCTTTGCTGGACTACAATTGACTGCTGTTCTGTGTGTATAACAGAGGCACAGCCATTTGTTCCTATACCTGATCAGATGTGGCAGTGTTTTGTGCCTGTAACAGAAATAGATTTGTTGACTGTTGTTGAGTTTGCTAGTTAAACTTCGGAGGTGGCCTCACCGAGTCTCGTTTCTTGCCCAGGGAGTTTGCCCAGCTCGCGGTGGAGCTCCTCGACCAGTCCTACAAGCAGGAGGAGCAGATGGCCATGAAGCTGCTGACTTATGAGCTGAAGAACTGGAGTAACTCGACCTGCCTACAGTTAGCCGTGGCTGCCAAACACCGTGACTTCATAGCACACACTTGCAGTCAGATGCTCCTCACAGACATGTGGATGGGCAGGCTCCGGATGCGGAAAAACTCAAGCTTAAAGGTTAGCATGGGTGCGAGAGGGTGGTGTGGAGAGAACAAGAACCAGCTTCAGACTGTCAATGCCCCAAGTTCCAGCTATTCTTAGTCTACAAGACCATTTTGTCTTTTATATAGATCAAGGGAGTGTCAGTCTCGACTATATGAGTTCCAAGTTCTATTGTGTGGCTTGAACCCACAACCTTCTGACTCAGAGGCGAGTGTGCTACCAACTAAGCCAGGCTGACACCGTTTTATTGCAGGCTTTGTTCACAAGTGGTGCTTATGTATATTCTGTACACCTGGATTCTGTCAGCAGTCAGCCAAGTATCTGACTAATTCAACCATTCAGTCTAAGTAACAATTTAACCATTTGGTAAGGCAGCTTTGAACGACCAAACATTAGTCAGTTTATACAAAGACCTATGTTAGGCCCAGTTCTGTGTGTTTTGTGCATCTTCAGTCAATTGGCTTTTAACATTAGACTATCAGCATCCAAACACAGACGCTAAAGGGTTGCTTCCCGTTTTTACAGGTTATTCTGGGCATTCTGCTTCCCCCATCCATCCTGAGCTTGGAGTTTAAGAACAAGAATGAGATGTCATACATGCCACACAGCCAGGAGTCCCCTGTATTACTGAAAGAGGTGGAGGAACCTGAGAAACCAGTCAAAGAGAAGGAGGAGGAAGACATGGAATTCACAGTAAGCACACGAAAGAGACATTTAAGGCTGTGTTTACAGTGCTGGCTGGAAGTTTAAATGTTTTTTGATGTGAAATCAATAAACTTGAAAACTCTCCTAACGTTACATTTTAAATGCCAGAACCGCCACGCATCTTCAGCAGCGAGTGTCAATTTCACTACTCCTGAAACCACCTCCTGAAAGGAGCAGGGCTCCAGGACAATTCACGCTGGCCGAGACACCATTTTTGCTACATGTTTGGCTAAGGATCATTTCCAAAATCATGGTGATTTACAGCACAGTTGAACAACAACAACTTGTATTTATATAGCGCCCTCCACGCAGGGTTGTGTCTCAGAGCACTTAACAGTGGCGGAACTTGATTCTGAGCCGGGGTGGGGGGGACAGATGGCTGTAAGCATGGTCGAAGAGGAAGGTTTTCAGGCGGGACCTGAAGAAGAGGAAAGAGGGGACAAGGCAGAGGGATTGAAGGAGAGTGTTCCAGAGGTTTGGGGCGTAGTGGCTGAAAGCACGACCTCCGATGGTGGGTCGGAGGGTGTGAGGGATGAGCAGGAGGCTGGTGCCAATCGAGTTGAAACACAGCATTAACTGTACAGTGGTAACTATTGGGTGCAAAGTAATAGTATTTGGCTGGTTTCTTCACTGTTAAATGGAGGCTGAATTGTGAAGATCTGTGGGGTGTGACTATCACACTTTTGTCACTTCCCGGCTGGAATATTCTAATGCTCCAGCTCCACCATAAACAAAATACAACTAATTCAAAACTCCGCTGCCCGGATACTCACCTGCACAAAACTTTGTAACCCTATTGCATCAGTCCTTGCCAGGATCCACTGGCTCCCAATTACTGAACGGGTCGATTTCAAGATCCTCTCACTCGTTTTCAAATCCCTTCATGCCCTCACACCTCCCTATCTATCTGACCTGTTTACTCCCCACTTTACCACCCGCTGCCTCTGGATCCTATTTGTCCCTCATGCCCTCCATTCCATCATCACTGGCCACGCCTTTATCCATTACATCCCGAAACTCTGTAAGTCTCACCCTCAATCCTTCCGCCTTGACCCCTCCCTCCCCAACTTCAAATCCCACCGAAAGACTTTCCTTTTTGTCATGTTTATGGTCACCTCCCTCTCCCCCTAGCGTGTTGTCAGACTCCACCACTTTCAAGTGTTCCAGGATTCTACCCTACGTGAAAGGCACCATATAAATGTAAGCTGTTGTTGTTGTGGGTGGTCTTGATAATTGATAAATGGTCAGCAATGTGAGTTTGATCAGTGCTGCAGGTGTGATATAATATCAGGTACTGCCTCTCTGCCTGTTGTCTGAAAGGTGTCGTGTTCATGTGTGTCAATGTCATGGATTTGTTAGCCAGAAACAGGGAAAGCAAAGCCAAAGGAAAGCAGTGGCAGAAAATGAACCTTAATTTAGAAGCCAGTGGTTAATAAGACCACCAGGATTCTACCCCACGAATCAAAATTAAGACTGATTTTAAGGATTTTCCACAATTCTGTGCGATCTTAGTTTTAAGACAAAATAGACTAAAAATAAGGTGGCATTTTGGACCTCCGAGTGGAAATTTTTCACGTGGGTTTACACTTAGACTTTTTTTCTTAGCATTTTTCAACATGCTAATTTTGAACTATTCTTGAAATTCAATCTTAACTTTGCATCTGTTTTTTCTGCAGTTCTTAACAAACAAGAGCACTTCAGAATTAAGACAGAATTTAAAAATTGCCCCAAATTTGCAGTCTGAATTGTTAAGAAAGAAGCCTAAGTCCAGACCCAGGTAGAATTTATAATCTTCCCCACCCCCCCACATACCCGCAAAAAAAACCTGTAGTTTGATAGTTTACCATTGGAAGTGTCTCCAGGTGAACCAAGTAATGTTTATTGACTGTTTTGGAGATTGGCTGTCAAGTTTATCTACAAATTACGCAGTCACTACACTTTACAGTAAATCCTGTGAAATACTTTGAAAAGTCCTCTTGACATGAAAGGTGCAATATGAAATCATAGAATTATACAGCACACAAGGAGGCCATTCGGCCCATCAGGTCTGTGTTGGCTCTTTGAAAAGAACTATCCAAATCAATCTCACTCCTTTGCTCTCTCCCCATAGCCCTGCAAACTTGTCTTCCCCAAATAATTATCTACTTCTCTCTTAAAAGCTGTTATCGAATCGGCTTCCACCACCCTTTCAGGTAATGCATTCCAGATCTGAACAACTCGCTGTGTGAAAAAAAATTCTCCTCACTTCCCCTCTGTTTCTTTTAACAACTATTTTAAGTTCGTGCCCTCGGGTTTACCAATTCACCCGTTAGTGGAAATGGTTTCTCATTGTTCACCCTATTGAATCCCCTCATAATTTTGAAAACTTCTATTAAGTCTCCTCTTAACCTTCTTTGCCCCAAGGAGAATAATCCTGGCTTCTCTAGCCTCTCCTGATAACTGAAATCCCTCATTCCTGGTACCATCCTGGTAAATCTCCTTTGCACCTTCTCCAATGCCTTGACATCCTTCCTAAAGTGTGGTGCCCAGAACTGAACACAGTCTCTCGCTGAGGCCTAACCAGTGTTTTATAAAGGCTCATCATAAATGCCAGGGTTATTATTGTTCTCATTATTATTATTTACTCTGTCATGCTTTTTTAGCTGATTTAGCTTCATAACTAACAAATAATCATTCTTCATGCGTGAACCTTGACTGTCAGCAGGATGTTTGTCTGTTGGGGGGTGGGGGTGGAGTGCTTAAAGGGGAAGGAAAATCCGGAGGGAGCATTTCTGTTCAAGATACTTCTCCCACCTCCTTCTGTCCCTAGATATAGAGGAGGGTGGAGGTGGCCAGGGGGTGGGGCAGGCGTATATTTATGGAAGTGTAGTTTGCTTGTAGCGAGGAATTCTCGCTTTTCCGTATTACCTGGGACCTGCCTCCTCCTGTCCTAGGCTTCTCCGGTGACGTCAGTGACAGAGAGAAGCCGAGTGACTCCCAGAGCAGCTGCAGTACCAGTGAGTATGCAGGAACATCGACCGGGAATGTGATCATACATTTTCTGCAGAGCACACTGGAAAAACATACAGAATCCTGTAACTTACAACAACTATTTTTTTAAAATAATAATAATTTGGTCACTCAATCCATGGCTGTTTGTAGGACACTGCTGTGCACAACTGGCTGCTGTGTTTTGCTCACAAAAGTGTAGTCAATTCACTTTACAGTATATTCTGTGAAGCGCTTTGAAACGAATCGACGAAGTGATAAGGCGATATAATCAAATGCAAGGATTATTATTACTATTATAGTAAGTGCATGAAGGTCACTATATATGCAAAGTGTCATTGTTGTAATGATAAAACAATGCCCCTACAATCACAGTAAATTTGATCTATTTACTCCTCGACTTTTCGGATGTCACAACATGCAGTTTGGGAAACATAAAACTCGAGACCAAATGCCTGACCATAAGCAAGTGTATGGTGAGAAAACTGTGAGGTTTTATAACAGATCTGATGTATTAATTGTGAGTGGGTTTTAATTAAATCGCATTTTAGGTCAAGTTGATAAACGGCTATCATTTTCATGAAACATCATCCTTACGTGACATTTCAGAGACTTTAACAGTGTTATCCTTTGGAAAGATGAGTTGTAGATTATAGTTAATATGGATTGACACATCACAGCACAGCACCCCTTTAACCTGAAGTTATGAACTGTAATGCCCACATATTTTGGATTCTATTTGCAAGCTGTGCATTGTTACATAACATGATAGCTGAGAAGTTAATGTCTATGACACTGGATTGTCTTACGAGTGCAATTTATGAGTGCAATTAAGCTTATTGAAGTGTGGTTTAGGCCAGGACGCTAGATTCATTTAACACCTTGATACTGTAATGAGCCTGTGCTCTGGAGAGGATTCATACTGTTCACAAAATTGGTTCGGATGAAGGGCCTTTGGCTCATTTGATTTCATCCTTCCAGCCATCCAATCATCTTCCCATTACAGTATCAAAGTGTTAAATGAATCTAGCATCCTGGCCTAAACCACACTTCAATAAGCTTAATTGACTTTGTTTTGTTTCCAGCATGCAGGAATTTCGAGGACTGGGCATCAGAGTAGAAACTTTTACATGAATCCAAAATTAAACAAGCTTGCTGGAGCTTACCAGACAGTCTGCATGGTTTTAGATAGTTACACTCCAGTATTACCTAAATGCACACTTTGGGGTCCCCAAGCCTTGACTCTTGCTAACTGGCTTCTAATATTCTCTGGAATTAAGTAAGTAGGGCGTGCCCTTCAAGGAGAGAAAGACGATTCCATTACAAAGGTAAATTTCCATGTGTAGGTGGCAGACACAAGTGGAAATCTGGTCTAGAAACATAGAAAACCAGTACAGAAAGGAGATCAATTCAGATTAATCCGAAATCAATCCCACCGCCTTATCCTCACTTCCCTTCAGGCCCCACTCTGCTTCCCTCTTGAAAGCTACAAAGGACTCCGCAACTCCTAAGTGATGGGTTTGTACATGTGTCAGACAACCGACTGACCAAAAATCAACCTGCATTCTGAGGCACAGAGGAGATAATTTGCTAAAACAAAAGGTAAAATACTACAGATGTTGGAAATCTGAAATTAAAACAGAAGTTGCTGGGAATACTCAGCAGGTCAGGCAGCATCTATGCAGAGAGGAAAGTGATTTAACATTTCAAGTCGATGACCTTTCATCTGAATTCATAATTTGCTAATTGTTGTGGCATTCAACTTGTATTATGAAGGCCTATGTCAGCAGAAAAAGTTTCAGTCAGACATGCTCCTGTTGACAGTTTCTCTGTTTCTCTCTCTCTCCTGAAGGTAGTGCTTGTCTATATTTCATTTCCAATGAGCAGTGAATTCTGTCAGACACGGCATCTGAGGCTCTTCACACTCTTTGCTGTAAGATCATTGTCATAAAACAAGATGGTGCAGTATTTTGGAAGATTTTCAAATTCAATCTAAATGTGCACGCCATTTTGCACAATTCTTAAAAGAATCCGAGAGAAAATGGCTTCTAAATTAAAAATGATTTTTTAAAGAATTTTCCAAAATTCTACATGCTTACATATCAAGACATTGGTCTTAAAGCTAACACCTCAATGGGAAGACATTCCACCAGGGTCTATGTTTACTCTATTTACGTAGCAAAATTTGATAACGTTTTGAATACAAGCCTCATTTTGAAGCTGGGCTTCTTTACATTTGTTTAAGAATCAAGCTCTGAAATGGTAAGAAAATAGAGTAAATCTAGACCTAGGTGGGATGTCTTCCCACAGAAGTCTACATTAGCTCTTGACTGTAAATATCAACTGAATCGTAAACTCCTATACCAAAGAATAAATTACATAACCAAAAAAGTTAAAAGAAAAATCACCAAATATGCAACAGGTAAAAGGGAGAATGTAATATAGTAATTTAATTATTGCAAGTGAGGAGTGACACTTAGTGACAAAACTCGGTACAGCACCTGAATATCTTTACACTGAAGTTTCCAACTTGCAAGACATAAACTCCTCATGAAACATCGGAATGATTTAATGTTTCCTCTAAGTCTGAGCTGTGAATGGTCATCGTTGCTTGTCACCATACTAGCTCACGGCTGTGATTGTCTTTTTTAGGCAATGCTGGACGGGGTGAATGGAGAAACTGTGAGAAAAAAGGATGAGGCGGAAGTACAGACCGTACACGGAATAATTCCCTTTGGCAGAAAGATATACGAGTTCTACAATGCTCCTATTGTTAAGTTCTGGTTTTATACAGTGAGTAATGAAGCTAACGATTTGGTTGTGTGTAATGATATAGTGCCACCAACACTTTTTACTAGCCAAGTGATCGGATGGGACCCTGGTGTAAACAGGGCAGGATTTAGAACCACTGGCCACAGTAACTTACGTTTATATAACGTCTGTCACATAAAAATCACAAGGCATTTTACAGAATAAAATTAATTAGAAATGAAGTGAATGTTATGTATGCGGAAGCTAGTGTGCAGTATTGTCGCAAGATCACCAGATTGGTGTGGATGAAGAAAGCCCTTCGGCCCATTTGATATCACCCTTCTGGAGTACTCATCCTACCATCTTCCCACTACAGTCGTAAGCTGTTTCTTACCCGAGTCCTGTATCCTGACCTCAGTCACCATTCCAGTCATTAATTAGCCTTCTGTAAGGTAATACTTTCAGGTATCTATCCTGAGATTGTTCTTTACAATCCTAAACCTGTGTCTATAAACAACAATGAGATAGGTGGGCATTTGTTTGAATCTGGATTAAGTACAGAGACTGCTGTTCTACCGGGTACCTCTAGTGTAAAGAAACCATGTCCAAATTCACCCAATGAGGACAGGTAAAATAATAATAATAATTCTTGCATTTGATATAGCGCCTTATCACGTCTTCGAGATGTCTCAAAGCACTTCACAGAATATACCGCAAAGTGAATTAACTGTATATTTTGTGGGGAAACACGGCAGCCAGTTGTGCACAGCAGTGTCCCACAAACAGTCGTGGAATGAAGTGATCAAATTATTATTATTATTTTTTCACAACACTTGTAACTATTGGGAATACAAAGATGTGACCTGAACTGGGATTGCAACCTTCTACTGTTGGAAACACCTGATGTCAGTCTAAAAGTCTTATCTTTATAGTTGAGACCAAACATTAAGAGGTCTGGTTAGAGAGAAGCCACATTAAAGGTTGCCATTTCAAAACTACACCCCTTGCAACCGAGAGTTCAAAATCTACACAAAGAAGCATTTAAATGGGATAGAAAGTAAATCAAGAATAATACTCTAAGATATGGCAAGCCAGCAGAACAAGAGGGCACAGGTTCAAGGATTGCAAACCGCAATTTCAGGACAGACACCAAAAAAAAATTATTTACACAGAGAGAGTAACTTATAACTGGAACAAGTTACCAGGAAAGGTGGATGAAGTCAGCAGCTTGATGCTGTTATGGGAGGACACTGGGGTGGGTGTTGTGGAAGGATGAGATCTTATGGCTGAAGGGCCTCAGGCACTTCAAGAAGTTATTCTGCGTGAAGGAGGCCAACATTCCCCCAAATAAAATTGGTTACTCACTCCTTGGCTGTTTGTGGGACATTGCTGTGCCCAAACTGGTTGCCACGTTGCTCCCATAAAATAGACAGTCACTGTATTTTACAGTATATCCTGTGAATCTCTTGACGACTTAATAAGGCGCTAAATCAAAGGAAAGGATTATTATTATATTATGTATTATATTCGTCAAATGAGATTCAAAAGATTCATTTTCTCTCCAGTAATGTCAAGATTTTAATGTTGGCCCTCTGCCATGTCAATGTTCCTGATATAATGCAGATGGTTTCCTATCAAACAGATGGCGTACATTGGCTACTTGATGCTTTTTAACTACATTGTTCTGGTGAAGATGGATGTGTGGCCTTCAGTGCAGGAGTGGATAGTTATCTCTTATATCTTCACACTTGGTATAGAGAAGATGCGAGAGGTAAGGAAAGCAGTTTTAAAAGCAGATGTTCTTATTGCCAATGAACCCCCATGTGTCACCAGATCCAGTTATCTCCTGTACACAATTCAAAAAAGACCCAGTGCTAAATCACAGAGAGACATGACAAGCTGGTTAAGTTAGCAATGCTCATAGAACTGGGAGGAAAAGTGGCATGTGATACAATCACCAGTGATAATTATCACATTGGCCAAAAATGTTGTCAAAAGCCATCCAAAAGGCTGTGGATGCTGGATCAATTCAAATTTTTAAGACTGAGGTGGATAGATTTTTTAGATAAGGGTATCTAGATATATAGAGCAAAGGTGAGTAAATGGAGTTGAGTTTCAAATCAGCCATGATGTACTAGAGTGGCAGATCAGGCTCGAGGGGCTGAACATCCTACTCCTGTACCTATATTCCTATGTTCCTATATCCAATAGTTAGCACTGGTTTCAGAGATGACCCAACCCCAAACCTGCAGACTAGGAGCGGGACTCCTTTATTTCTAAAGCATAGAGGGATTAAAGGATATGGGGATAGGGCGGGTAAATGGAATTAGGTTAGAAGATCAGTCATGATCTTATTAAATGGCGACACAGGCTTGAATGGCCTACTCCTGCTCCTACGTCTTATGGTCTTATGGACTGCAAACATTCAGTATAGACCAGTGTTAATGCTTTAAATTTAGAGCATTTCGACTGCACTGACTAAAATCTTTGCTTCGATTAGATCCTCATGTCAGAGCCTGGGAAACTGTTGCAAAAGGTGAAGGTCTGGCTGCAGGAATACTGGAACATTACAGATCTCATGGCCATCCTGCTTTTTTCTGTGGGAATGGTGCTGCGCCTGCAGGAACAGCCGTACATGAGCTACGGGCGGGTCATCTACTGTGTTGACATCATTTACTGGTACATTCGTCTGTTAGATATTTTCGGGGTCAACAAGTACCTTGGACCTTATGTCATGATGATTGGAAAAATGGTAAGAGACAAATGGTTGTTTAATCAGCATTCACTGTGCATGACTGCAGCTTGAGTTGAAATAACATATAGTGTATGTAATGTTTTGTTATATGCAAAAGTACAATACTTGTATGGATCCAGTTCTGCTAATAGCAACTAAGGTAACGTACTTATTTCCAGGCTCTCTGATGCAAAGTCGTGTACCAGAATGTGAATGAATGCCAGACCAATTTCTGAAGCCAATTTCATCCGAGTAGAGTTTGGGTAAAGTTCCCTTGATTTTAGTTGTGTAGTCTTTAGGGTATGGTCATTGACACTCCAAGTTACTTCTGTTACATTTAAGGACAGAATTCCGGAACTGACCTGGGCAATTTATTGAAATCATGCAATCTGCGGCCACATGTATACACAGTATGAAATTAAAGTCCTGTATATTTGGAATTGGAATCTGCACATAGGTTGTTGCAGTGAAGCAGATATGAACCCATCAAAGGCTTTTTCCAATGCTCATTTGGTAAGGTCACTGCCCCATGCAAAACAGAGCCATACATAGCTGGAAGCTGTCCGGTTACATTCGTGGCTTGTGATAAGAGTTAGCTGATCTCAGCCCAGGTTCGAAATTTGACCTCAGTGACTTTGGGTTAGGGAGGGGGAATGTCACCCAGTGCCCCTGTTCATGGTCAGTTCGATTCCCAGGCAGGGCAAAATCTTAGGCAAGTTTCTTTATTCCACACGCCTCTGTTTATCTTGCAGTAAGTAGGAATACAGTTGTTAGTCAATTGGCTGATTGCTTTCCAGGGGTAATAGTTCCTCCAAAAATAAAAAAAATTTAAAAATCATTTGGTCACTCAATCTATGAGTTTGTGGGACACTGCTGTACACAATTGGCTTCTGCGTTTCGCCCACAAAATATACAATCAATTCACTTTACAGTATATTCTGTGAAGCTCTTTGAGACATCTCGAAGACGTGATAAGGATTATTATTATCATTATTATGCAATGAGCCCTTCCCTCCCTCCACTGAAAACAGGCCTGTTCAGGGACTGTGTGAGGACAGGATTTAGTTCAGTCTTGAAACTCCCAGAGAGGAAGCTGACTCCACTTTTTCCCCACTTTTTGCAGATGATTGACATGATGTACTTCGTTATCATCATGCTGGTGATTCTGATGAGCTTTGGGGTGGCTCGACAAGCAATCCTCCATCCAAATGAAGACCCCTCCTGGAGACTGGCAAGAAACATCTTCTACATGCCCTACTGGATGATCTACGGAGAAGTATTTGCAGATCAGATAGATCGTGAGTAATTCTTGCTGCACAAACCTAGTCCCTTTAAAGTCGTCGCAGAGGATGAGACACAATCTAAAAGGATTTTATTTGTGGGAAAGTTTCAGTCACAACCTGAACAAGCTCCTATGTTAAAGGCCACTTCCCATGGTTGCATCTGTTTACACCCCCATGGCCACACGAAAATCAATGCACATTCATGAACTGATTGTAGGATCGAAAGGGCACTCAGGGTTCGGTTATGTGAAGGAATCATAGAATTAGTTGGTGGTACAGTACAGAATTTCTCAATGTCAGTGTTTGCTTCTGGTAGGTGCATTTTTGTGGAGCCTTTTAGCATAGTGAATGGTGCGTGATAAGGCGCTATCTCAAATGCAAGGATTAACATTAATAATTTGTGCATCCCGAGTGCAGACAATAGAAAACCAGCCTCACCTTCAACCAGTGTGTCAACCAGTCCAACAAGGAGATTATTGCCTTCAGCGTATATCCGTAGCATAAGTACTCTAGTTACTGTGGGACCCGACGCTGTAGTGACGGTAAGGTGAGGAGGTGATGAGGCTGCTGAAAAGATACACAGGACATTTTGCTACACTGTGGATTGACTGAAACTTCAACTAGATCCAGAAGCCAAGAGCTCCCCCCACTGGCTAGGTCAGTAAATGCACATCACAAGGATGAAAAGACTGGAAAACTGGAGGTTTAATTCCCCACCTCTTTTTCCTTCTTGTCTTTTCCTGAATTAGTTGACCTCAGTCCAGCCATTGCTACAATTGGCCTCAGTGCTGCTAGGTCCTTTGGGTTAGTGAAAAGAAGGTCAACCAAGGTATCACTCCTGATCACACCCTCATTGTGTCAGGGGCTCTACATTTAGTCAACCAAAAGAAATGAAACCTACTTAAAAACCTAATTAACACAGGCTCAGGATTGTGAAGAGCAATTTTAGACTAGTCACCAGGAAGTATTACTTACCCAGATGGTTATCAACAGCCAGGACAAGGGAGATTAAAATATTTAATAAACAGATAAACAGAACAGGTTGCACCACCTCCTGTTGTTCCTATGGCTCCAACAGCTGCAAGTGGTCATTAGTAAGTGCAGTTGAGCCCAGATCACTAGATTTATTTAAGAAACATCTGGGTTATGCAATTCAAGATGGTGGGTTGGTGGGGATTCTGGAACGTTGAGGTCAAATAAGTTGCTGGGACTTCTTCATCCAAACTTGGTTTATCAAATCTGTCAGTCAGTTTGTATTCTGAGCAGACTGTATTCCAGTGTTTCAAACAACTTTACTTTTGTCATTTTCTGGAAGATTGTGAAGTTATCCATCCCTGTTTTTTAATTTCTGACTTTTACCCCTTTATTATTTTGTGCCACTGTGATCGACAGCACGTGGAACTCCATTTTCATCTCGTGCAAAACGTCCACTCTTTAGGTTTGTTGAACAGCTTTTACGTTACTTCATTCTTCTCAGTCTGCATTTTCAAGCATTTCAGAACTTTTATTTTGAATTTTTATCACACCCTGTGTTCTGGGGGAGAGGGATGGGGGCACGACTGCCCAGCCCAGTTGACTGCTTTCTACTATACATTACCTCAGCTCTGAAACAGTGGAATATTTGAATATAAGGCTTGCCTGACTGCAGAGTCAATATGGTGTGCGCAGATGATTGGGTGCAAAGTTAAACAATGCTGGCCAGATATCTTTTTCCATCTTATTGCTGACGTGGTTCTTTTCCCTCCTTAAACAAATCCAATAACCGAATGAGGGAGATTGATTGTAATCAGATTATCATCAGGGTTTTTTAGATGAATGTTTGTGCTTTGTAAAAATGATTAATTGTTAATATGGGTAATCAAAACATTCTCCAACTTTGGGCACCATGTGAGGGTTGCTGTTTTTTCATTTTGTGTTTGGTTCACCTGGCAATACAGAGGATACATGAAATCGATCATGACTTCTACATAAATAAGCTTCCTTGTTTTGCAATAGAATTCGGTGAACATCGATATTTGTTGCATTTTCCACAATTCAACATAAATTAATTCCTATTGCTAAGCAATATTTTATTTTAATACATTTGTATCATGTTTTGGACTACAAAAATGGCTGATTACAGGCCTTCAGGTCATTGCGGACATCACCTCCTGAGCTATGTACTGGCTGTGCCTCTGACATTATTTCCTGGTCATCACCAGTTTTGTAGTTGTAAAAATCAATAATAAAAAATTGAAAATAATTGTATGGATCCATTATACCAGTAACTAACTGAGACATGGAAGTGGACAAGGCAAAAGTTTCATCAAATGCCTGAAACTCCACCTAGCCTTAGCCTGTAAAACTATTTTGTCTTGAAATGTAATACTATTGTGCAACATATGGCAAATTCATAAATTCTGAATGAATCTGAATCTGGAATTTGGTTCTTTTTGAGAACTGTGGAAAACCAGCTTCCAAATTAACACTAAGTTTGAGAACTTTCACCTCTCTGCACAATCTTAAGACACAAATGATCTTAAGGCTAAGATTGGGTGAATCTTTGGGCCTCTTGTATCTAGGTCAAGTGAAGACAAGATTGAGATTCCACAGTCAAATAAGGTGTGGTCACAGAGGTATTTTTGAGATGGGCCTTAAATGTGGGGAGAATGGGATGGAGGGAGTCAGAGAGACTCCGGGATGGAGTTTCAGAGAGCAGGAGAACAGCTGGAATGGATGGAAAATGGAATTGAAAAAAAGGTTTGTTAAACACTTTTTCATGATGGCAACACCTGGTGGTTATATGTTGTGTATATACAATATATGTATTATTTTCCTCCACCTTCATCACATTACCCAATTCTACCACTACCTCTCCCCTTGGCCACCAAGACCATGTTGTCATCACGTCCATGCTAGATTATGCCAACTCTCTGCCCATTGGACACCCCACTTCACAAGCTGCAGATCATCCCAAACTTTGCAGTTTCTGTCATTTTTTGCACTCGGCTCCATGAGGTTATTACCTCCTGTTTTGCCTCGCTCACCATCCCCCAGCGGATCGAGTTCAAGATCCTCGTCCTCACCTTTAAATTCCTGCATGGTGTTCCCCACACTACTTCTGCAACCTTTTCAAACTCTAACAACCCTGCTCCTTCCACTCAGCGGGCACCAGACTGCTTCACATCCCCCACCCTACCAGCCCACTATTGATGGTTGGGCTTTTGGCCTATCTGCCTCCACTCTCTGAAACGCCATCCCAAAATCCTTTTGCCTCACCACATCCCTCGCCTCCTTCAAGGTCCATCTCAAGACCTTCCTCTTTGACCATGTTTTCAGCCCCTTTCCCCTCCCTCACCCTTCTCACCCTTGGGTCTCAATCCCTGCTTGGGTACAAACGCTGGACTTTTGAGCACCTTGGAACATCCTCCCAACTTGAAAGTCACAATATAAATGTAAATTTGTACTGTATTGTGTATTCATACATTCCCGACGATATTCCAATTTTGCCATTCTGCTGATGAATACAAGAGCTGTTTTTTTTGTTTACAATTTGCTAGGCAAAAGAAGACCAAGGTACATCTAGTTTGCTTTCCACCATCCTGGCAGTTGCTTGATATGTCATGTCCAAGCTATATACAGTATCCCAAGATATCATTTTCTAGCAGAAATCTATCTAATTTGTTCTTGAAGCAAATGACATGTTCTGCTTCTACTTCTCCCTAGGGAACCTGTTCCACAAGTTTACTAATTGCTCACTGCGTTTCCGCAGTAAATTTCTGCAGATTTGTTCTGAATTTATCCCCATTCAATCATAGGCCGTGTCCTCTGGTTCTACTGTTCAGTACAAGGTACAACAGTTTATCATTGTCTAGATTAGCTATTCCTTCAGCATCTTAAAGACCATAATCATCTCGCCCCTCAACCTTCTCTTCAGTATGTTATGTTATGTTAACATGCCCAATTTATCTAATCGCTCCTCATAGTCCAGTCCCTCCAACCCCTCAATCATTTTGGTTGCCCTCCTATGTATCATCTTAATCGCTGCAATATCCTCCCTTAGCCATGTTTAAACCTGCCGAGCCCACTCTGATGAGACTTCTCAATCGCATAAAATTGGTCTTCTCAAAATTTGGCAATTTGTTTTTGTTTTTATAATCTCACCAATCTGTGTAATACCAAATGTAATAACCTGTAGTGGTTAGATTGTCGAGTCCTGTAGTTCAGTGGTTAGAGCACTCCCCTCCCCCCCCTAATTGCGCACATTGCTGTGCGCAATTAGCTGCCATGTTGTGCCCATAAATATACAGTCAATTCATTTTACAGTGTATTCTTTGAAGCACTTTGAGTCATCTAGAAGACATGAAAAGCGCTATATCAAATTCAACAATTATTTTTATTTTATTGTGATCACTGTTGCTTAATTCCTCACCCACCTTTTGCAGGTTTGATCATCCCTGTTAGTCATAACAAATCCAAAATATTATTTCCCCCTGTTGGCTCCTTCACAAACGGAGTCATAAAACACTGTTCCTTTAACTCTAGAAATTCGTTCCCAATCTTACCAATAGAAATTTTTTTATCCCAATCAATTCTCCAACTACTATGGTTGGTCGCTTACCAGTCACCTTCCTTATTTCATCCCCAGTTCCAGAACAAGGCTATCATCCTGGCCTGGGGGGTTCTATAGAAACCCCCCAATAATAGTTTACCTCTGTTGCCATCTATTAATTATATCCAAAGTGGTATATGATGTCAATTTTCTGGTATATTGTCCTCTCTGTGTAGAAATGAGCCAAGACCTGACAACTCCACCCTCCTCTTGCAGAGAATTGAATCAATACCAGTATAGATTTTAGTACTATGTAAACCTCCTGCTGTAACTTATCTTTTTTATTCTAGCTCCGTGTGGAGTTGGGTTGACAGAAGATGGAAAGCCTTTACCTCCCTGTATAACAGGAGCATGGATTATTCCAGCTATAATGGCGTGTTACCTCTTAGTTGCGAACATTCTGCTGGTGAACCTCCTGATAGCAGTGTTCAAGTAAGTAATGTGACTCATGTTACTAAGTTTTCAAATAAATCCCGAAGGATTATGAGAATTTAACAAAGAGTGAACAAGAAGATTATAGTGTGACAAGAAGCTAAAAGAACTTGCAATTATAGCTTGGACCTTATTTGAGCAAAAAAGAGAGAGTTCAGGTACATATATGAGAAGAAACTTGTGGTGTATGACGTAACAATTTTTCACCATTAATAATCACACCACTCACTGTATTTTGACTCCATATAAATTAACAGATAATATGGAGCTGTCTTTCTGTCTTTTTTTTGCTCCCTTCCTTTTCTCTCGGTCTATGTTTGTTTCGTCTTTCTTGTTGATAATGGGGTAAGTGGCTGCAGGGAGAGAAGGCTCCTTCCTACGCTGATCTGTTGCTGAGCACCCTGAGTCAGATGCAGCTTCATGGCAGGCACATCTGTTTGCCAAATGGCACATGAGGACATGAATTAAGTAATTAGGGATGAGTACTTGCAATTGGACTTGAACTTTGAGAACATCAAGGTGGCTGGCACATCACAAGCTGTCCTGTAAAGGTCCTCCCACCATGCTCAAGGCAGACATCCATCAAATAGCTGATGAGTAAACTCTGAGGCTTGGGATTAAAGCTGCTGGAAGGTGTTACCGGGAGTCTGAGTTCGTGATCACAAGTTCATATAACTGAGGCTTGGTATACATCTTGATTGTTATGTAGGGAGGAAAGTAGTTGCTGCTCAAGCTCCACACTTCCAATTGGTTAAACCATTACTTAATGGGAAGGGATGTGTATCTGAGCAGGAAGATGGTAGCAATACTCTCATGCATTTCATGCTGAGTTAGTTTGCCCACCAGGAAGCTCACAGCGACCTACCATCCACCTAATCAGGATGTGAAAAGGCCAATTAGTGCCTATCCTCCGTTGTTCTGCTGCCTTGCCATATATGAAATTATTGTTCTGATTTTACTGTCTCAATCCCATTTAAAATCTCTAATACTCTTCCAAGACATCTATTTTCAAAGCTGGCTGATCTAATCATTGCTCATAGCATATTGTTAGAAAATAAAATCAGCCATAATCCGTTTGCAACCAGATATCAGACTGTTTTATTATTATTTGTTCGTTATTCCCCAATATCCCGATGGGTCAGACCAAAGGCTGGTACAATCAACTGATCTTATGACAGAACAATAGCACCGTAGATATCTCAAGTTCAACACTGTGTCTTTATAGCACACAATACCACCATAGATATCTCGAGTTCAACACTGTGTCTTTACAGCACACAAGCTTGATTCTTCATGCTTTCAGTCTTCTTGCTTACAGCTTTCAATCTTCCGTCTGATATCCTCAGTCTTAGTGTTTCTAGTCTTCCATCTCCCATACCCTTGTCTCCGCGACCCGGGACGGCCCCGTTCACAAAGTTAACGGAACTCTTATACCGATGTTCGTCCAATCATGGTGCGGACATTAGGTCACTGGGCCAAAATCATGCTGGGTTCACGTGAACACCTCATGGGGTGTACGTGCCTCAGCACACATACACATTGTCCTTAATTGTCTAAGATAGAGGATTGATCAGTTTAGGGCTGTATCTGGTGCTCATTATTTTGTGGTGTGGGATCATTAGTACATTCCTTTTAAGTGACTGGTTATTTCTTATCAGTATCCCAGGATGGTACCAAGGTCCTCCAGTTTAAGCAACTTGCTCATTAGCTGCTGTTCTTGAGGGTTGCCTTTTGTTGCTCTTGAGTGTTAATCATGAGTGTCAGTCCAGTTGCCCCCCACACTTAACTTAAAAGTTAACCCATTCGCAATATCTATTATGATTCTAACATTATACAAAAAGTGTAAATTCTAACAATATTCCTCTCTAACACTGGGGATCAACCTTGTTACTGTCCTCTAGGGCTTGAGGAGTCCTGTTATCTAGGTGATCAGAGCAGTGTTCCAGGTGCAGCATGACTAGGGAGGGCACTGTTCACTAAGGCTGAAAAGAGTAGAGGAGAAAGAATGACAATGTGGTTAGATGAGGTGAAACTTTCTTGATAAAAGCCTATAAAATACTTACTTTTCGTGACATCCATCAAGAGGTGTTTTATGGGGTAGAACAATCCAAGCGAGTGAAGTTGTGATTTGGTTAGAACACTCACCCTGCAAGCGAGAGGGCCCAGGTTCGATTCCTGGACAGGGCAAAACCTTAGGTTCCTTAGTCCACACTCCTCTGTTTCCTGAGTAGAAAGTAGGAACTTGGTTCTTAGTGAATTGGCAGATTGCTTTCCGGGTGTAATAATCCCTTCAAATCCATCAATCAATAAATAAATAATTAGGTCACTCCACGGATGGTTGTGAGGAACTGCTGTACAAAATTGGCTGCCACATTTCGCCCATAAAATATACAGGCAATTCACTTTACAGTATATTCTGTGAAGCACTTTGAGACGTCTCAGCGACATGCTAAATCGCTGTATCAAATGCAAGAATTATTATTATTTTAACATCCCTCTTTTGAATATCAACTGATTGTCGCTTTTGAATTTTGTTCCATTCACAGTAACACCTTTTTCGAAGTCAAATCTATTTCCAACCAAGTCTGGAAGTTTCAAAGATACCAGCTGATCATGACTTTCCACGAGAGACCTGTCTTGCCACCTCCGCTTATCACTTTCAGTCACATGACTATGGTCTTTCAACATATTTGCTGTCGCTGGAAGAAACAGGAAAGTGACCAGGAGGACAAAGATTATGGCCTCAGTAAGTTGCTTCCCCAACAAGAGCAAATGCTCCTTTCTAAGGTTTTATTTCTTGTTTCATTACCAATATCTTGATCAGGAAGGAGAGGTTGCTTTTTAAACCATTATTATCATGTGCTGGAATGTGCCACATTGTTTAAATCTTGCTCAGCCTCCTTCTAGAACATAAGAGCAAAGCTAACTGGTTTAATCATTGCTTATAGCATATTCCTCTCTAACACTGGGGATCAACCTTGTTACTATCCTCTACCCTGCCACTGAGGCTTGGGGATGACAAAAAGACCAAGGACCATCAAGTTCACCTTCCAACTTCCTGGCGGTCACATGCACATATGTCCCGAACTACCTATGTACTATATCCCATAATGTTATTTCCTAAAAGAAAATTATCTCATTTGTATTTGAAAGAATCAACACTTCCTGCTTCAACCGAGCCTGTTCCGCAGGTTTACTATTCGCTCGCTTCTCGTCTCAAAAGGGGTTGAGGTTTCTTTGTGATAGTCAATAGAAACAGAGTGAAACAAACTCTGTCTCTGCTATCCATCATAAGTAAATCAGGACAATCAACAGTTTGGTTTATACTGTAGCTTCCGTTCCTGTCCTGTTATTGAATACAGGAGTCGCTACAGAAAGCCGCTACATTTGACAAGAAAGGTTTTGGGTGTTTATCGCTGCTCTTGCTTCTTCATTCCCTTTCCTCCCCAGAACTATTCATCACAGAAGATGAACTGAAGAAGCTGCACGACTTTGAGGAACAATGTATAGAAGAATACTTTAGAGAAAAGGATGACAGGTTCATTTCCTCCAATGATGAAAGGATAAGAGTCACTGCAGAACGGTGGGTATTTATTACATTTGGGGTAAGCGGCACTTTCATGATATGGTTATAATAAGAAGAATCCTTGCATTAGATATAATGCTTTTAATGTTGAGTACATCTCAAAGCTTTCACCTAATCTCCGCAAAGTGTAGTGACTGTGTATTTGAAGTCCTTCTAATTGGGAGAGAAAGGAAAAGAAAATCACAATTAAGGAAAAAGGCTTTGGGAAAACAATTTCTCTGTCCACCATCCCAACAATTTGCTTCTAAACTTAATGTTCATTATATTATATCCACCATTAGAATATAGTTAGAATATGTTCAACAGTCAGTTCAACCCAATTTAGGCAAAACCTAAAGTACGTATTCATACAAACTCATGTTAAGCTTGTGATAAATCTCTGGTGTGTCCGTCCACATTGTGTTCATCTTTGGTTCCAATCTACAATAAAATGTGTTTAAAAAAAGCTTGAAAAAATAACAATAATCCTTGAATTTGATATAGCACTTTTCACGTCTTCTAGACATCTCAAAGTGCTTCACATAATAGACTGTAAAGTGAATGATTCTCCATCAATGTAAAATCTATTTTTAAAAGAGTTTTTAATCTGAAATTCACCATGAATTAATGAAAAATGGAAATGTTGTTCTATTTCCCTCTCCACTGCTTAGGGTTGATAACATGTCTATGCGGCTGGAGGAGGTGAATGAGAGAGAGCACTTCATGAAAGCTTCACTCCAGACAATGGATATTAGACTGGCTCAGTTGGAGGAGGTCACGGGTCGCATGGTACCAGCTTTAGAAAAGTTGGCTGGCATTGACAGAGGAGATGCCAACAAGTCCAGATCCAGGGCTTCCTCAGATGGCACCGATACTGCTTACATGTTGCGTCAAAGCAGCTTCAACAGTGCGGAAGGGAATAATTATAAACTTCCAGAGTGTGGAGAGCAAGCTGGAGAGGAGTCCATATCGCCAAGCTCTCCCACCATCATGCCACGCATGAGGAGCCATTCCTTTTATGCAGTGATCACTAAGGAGCGGCCCGGAGTGGAAAGGGCTGACTATAATTTTAAGGAAAGATCCTTCAGTTTACAGCGAGCAACCAGTACACAGTCTGTAGCTGTTGTGAAAGATGCCAAGTTGGCGCCCCAACCTGTTAGTGTTTCACCTAGCATGTCAGAGACCAAAACCCCTATAGGCACCAAAAGGCCTTCATCTTGTATTGACATTTATGTTTCCACGAGCGAGGAAGAACAAGCAGCTACTATGGCTGCCGAGAGCTCTCTGAAGGTTCCAGTAGCCAGAGAGGTGACGTTACAGTCTGATATTGTGGCTGCCATGTTGGGGAATCAAGCAACCAGCGGGTCTCCTGGCTTGACGAGCAAGTGGTCAGAAGGAAACGGGATATATGAGGAGCTGTTCACATCAGATAAGCTGGCGGCACAACCTAGCACCTCACAGGCCATCGAGAGCTTACAGCAATGGAGTCCCGATCCCCCTGTGTATCACGCATTGGAGCGTTCCAAAAGTAGCCGCTACTTGGCTGCATCCACCATTTACATCGAGGAATCCCCAATGGTGAAGTCGCACAGTTTCATGTTTTCACCCTCCAGGGGATATTACGGCAGCCTGGGTGTTGCGGTTAAAACCGCAGAATACACGAGCATCACCGACTGCATTGACACCAGATGTGTCTCTGCCCCTCCCGCCAACACAGAACACTCTCCTTTATCCAGCGGTTCCCGTGGAGATCATTCAAGCGGCCTCGACGAAGTGTCCACTTCCCACCCAGAGAGAGAGGCCGAACTCAGCCATCCGAGTTCCGACAACGAGGAACACGAAGGAGAAGTTCAAGACAAAGCGAGCGCAGCTAAGCAGTGTTTCCTCGAGAGTACTGCAGTCGAGCCCCTATCAAACAATACATCGCTTTCCAAGCTGGAGAGGGCAAACAGTTACACTGCATCGGAGCCCAATACACTGAATGCCCACGCTAAAAAGAGCTATTCCATCAGTGACAAACTGGACAGACAGCGAAACTCGCCGGGCTTGCGAAATCCCTTCCAACAAGGTCGCTTGTCAAAGCCGGACCTAAAAGCTGATGGTTTCTCACTGAAAAAGTTGTCAAAAACAACTGCTTTTAGAAGCTTTGACAGCAGCAAACAGAATTTCACATAATACTCAGTGCACTGTTCTGTGTCGCAAAAATGAAATGTGCTTGTTTTAAATTATATGCACCAAACCCAACCATGTTGTGTGGTTTTTGCAGTAACGCAGTACTCCGATTCTTGTTTAGCCACTGTCTTGAACCACTGTACAAGTATCTGTGTTCCTTGGCACTTTCTTTGTATTCATTCCCTCTCTGTTGAGGTATTAATGTGGCTGTGTCTTCTCACAGCCAGTATGGGAGAGCACCACAATGTTTACAGCAGCTTAGAATAACCTAAGCTGTTAGCACAGTGACAAGTATGTGTGATCCCATCCGTACCATTGACAGATTGTATCAAGTGCTGGGATATGTAATTCCATAATTTCAAAGATGGTTGTGATGTATGCTACAAAGCACTGCTTGCACAGATTTTATAATAAATATCATTTAAAGGTTTTGTATACACTAGGCTCTTGGTGAAAACCCGCTCAGGTGAAGTTGCCGTTACTGAAACTGGTTGCAAAAAAGATCTTCCTTGCAACCATTTTGGCAAACTTCCCCTTTCGACTGGCCTCTGATTTTACTGAATGGGTTTATCTCCATGAAGCAGAGTCCTTGGTGGGACAAGGTCTTGACTATTTGAAAGACCTCACATTGTGAAAAAGAAGTGTTTCTGCCTTGCATGAAAGTACAGTAGACTTGACAATGGTGCAGTGAGTTTGACAGCACAAAGTAGAAATAATTTTGATACCAAATGCTGGTAAATTTTGTCTAAACTGCTGTTTGTTAATATTTGATAGCCTTTCGAGGAAGGAATGTACAGTATTTTTAAAATAATTTGCTAGTATCTGTAGTTTTGTGATTTCAAGTCTGATTCTTCATCAAGTGAGTAATGTTTCTATTGTTGCTGAAGATAGATTTGCTAGCTTTAGTTTAGAGGCACGTATGCTTTTGCAATAACAATGTAAAGTTTCAAGCAATGTCTCTCCGCTGGTTCAGACTTGATTAAGACTCTAATAATGCATGCATTTACAAATCAGGTGACTATTCACCAAAACAATGTCAGACAAAATAAGTGTTGAACATGAAGTCAACAACATCATCACCTGGACATCTTGCTAACTGCAATGAATGCAAATGCAACAAGTTGTAGTTCTTTGGACTTTCAAACCCACGTTGGTTAGACCAAAACTAACAAGCTAATACATGTAGCTTGCAAAACATAATGCAAGTCAACAACCATGTTTTAGAATGCCATTGTGTGAAAAGTACTGATCATAGTGTAACAGTCAAAACAGCATCTCCCTTAGGTAGAGCTGAAGTGATTGCACCCAATTTTAGCCAACTGATATATATGTTTGTATCTAGGTATACAAATCATCAGTGGAACCTACAAGGAGTAAAAATGCAAGGCTCTGATTTTCCTTCCAAGCACTGAAGCAAAATGGATGCAAAGTTATATTGTATGCAGATTGGTGTTTTCTGCATAGATTGTTGATTCTCCAATGTGTCACAGGGGTCAAGAGCAAATATGTTAATAACTATTTAGGCCAACTGAATGGCCATTTTGTGTACCCCACATAGGAGGGGTGGCTGGATGTAACATAGCTACCATACCTTCAGCTTCTTTGGATTAACAAAAATCCACTTGTTCACCAAAAAGGAATTTTTTTTCCTGAAGCCCCAAAAATTGTTTCTGTGCATAGGTTGGACCTGCCTCAAATGATTGTCACCTGTGCACAAAATGCCTTTAAGTCATCTATCGCCCATTCCTGTAGGGAGCATCAGCAACAACAACTTGCATTTTTATAGCGCCCTTCAGCCGGGGTAGCATTCTGGAGTGCTTGACAGTGGCGGAGTCTGACCCTGACTCCGCACAGTCAGAGAGCAGGATGTGTTAAGTGACTGTGTGAGAAACCAGCTTTACAATTGTGACAAGACCCAGAGGCAGAACATAGAGCTGAACTGTGCCAACTCACTCACTGTGACAGACCTTTGTTCGGCGGGTTTAAACAATCTGAGAAAGTGAGAAGAAAGGCAGATGTGCTGGAAAAAAAGGTGAAGTAAAAATAAGGGACAGAAGAAGGCTGTTGAGGCATCAAATAAGTGACAAGACATTGACAGTTTAGCTCTAGAGCCAGGGCTAGTTATCTGCTAATAGATGTGGAACACTCACCACAAAAGCAGTGCAATTGGCACATTTTCAGTGGTGTGCAAAAAGTGCTCTCCCTTCACCATCGCTGTGTGACTGGTAGCAAAAGCTTCTCCAATGCAAACAGCATTTTCTCCAGAAAATCCCGTGTACTGCAATGGATAGTTGTGAGACCTCAACATCGACCCAATAATAATAATAATAATCCTTGCATCTGATATAGCGCCTTATCACTTTGTTGAGATATCTCAAAGCGCTTCACAGTTAAAGTGTAAAGTGGATTGACTGTGTATTTTGTTGGTGAAATCTTATCAGAGCCAGACCCAAGATTTCATCAAAGCCAAAGTCTCATGACTACTGTAGAAGGGATTTCTCGGAGAAAATGTTGTTTATGATACAGGTTCCTTTTGTCGGTGAGCACGCGGTGGTAATGCAAGTAACACATCTTTTAAACGAGGTAGCCTGGAGAGAAGGCAGGAGCCTGAAATTCTACCTAGTTTTAGCCTGTAAGACCTTTTGCTTTAGTGTTCAAGATGGTACAAAACTGTAAAATTTCTTAAATTCAGTCTTAATTTGTAAGTCTGTTTTTCCACTAGTTCTTAATCAGCTTCCAAACTAAAGCTGAATTTAAGAATTTTCCACAATTCTTATATTTTAAGGCAAAATGGTCTCACAGGCCAAGCAGAATATCAGACCTTAGGTAAGTTTGTATGTCAATTCCAGTTAGTTGTGGCTGGTCCATCAAACCAACAGAAGTGGTCAGATAAGGCAGAACGTTTTGGCCGAGATAGGGAGTCTAGTTTGCCTCATGGAAATTAAAACTTAAGATGAGGTTAATGAAATGTGTTCAAATCAGAAACTCCACCTTCTTCATATATAGGGACATAGTAAAATGAATGTACTATATTTTCAATTCCTCTCAATAGTTCAGCAGTACCCCGGTCATCACATATTATAAGATCAGTTGACCATTTGTTTAGCTGAGGTTTAGGTAAGTAAATGTGCCAACATGATTCTTAAGTGTACAATTATTTCATTTAATAAATTCATTTTGGGACATCCTCCCAACATGAAAGGCTCTATACAAATGTAATTTTGTTGCTGTTGTTGTTGTTGGTATTGCACTCTTGTGTAGTAGTAAAATTGTGGTAACAATTTACTAGTGCTCTCTATAGCACAGTACAGTTTAGGAAGTGCAGTATTTACTTACTGCACGGAAGTTGCCAAAGATCATGCACTAAGTTCACTTTGGCACAAAAGTGCACAAATGAAGTTTGGACTCTTGTGGTGGGTGTAGTACTGTACATACAGCTTAAGTCGCACCTCTATCCCCCAACCAACACCACAGCCAATAATCCAATGTCATCCTCCCAATATCAAAGGGCTAGGCTGGCCATTGACATTCTAATCCTTGTTTCCTTCTCAAGCCTAAAGAAACATTCAACTTAAAGTTAGGAGGTTTGAAATATGAACGTTTGGTCTTCTTCAAAATGAAATACTGGGTTCTTGTGATCCAAGTTAACAATTCTAAATTATTCCAAACTATTTAAATTCCATATAAATGCAGGTTGTCATAAAAATGAGGAATGGAGATGAAGCATAGAAAGATTGCCCTGACTCTGAGAAATAGCAAAGACTCTGTTTTGTGTAGCTAATGTTATAGCCAAATGGGTGAAATGTATTTTTGTGTTCCACAGTACAAAGTTGATTGCATTGCCTTTACACGAGGGATAGTGCCAAGCATTTTACGTCTATACCTAGTCTCTTATTTGTACTTATTGACAGTCCAGAGTCAAAAGATTGGCATAGTTCCCCTGAATTGCTTAGCAATGTCCCTCATTGCACGGAACTGAACAGGAAATTTTTGCCTTTTCAGAATTCCCTCATGCTGAAAATATAATGAGCTAAAACAATATGCTAAGAAGGGAGTTTCGCTCTGCAGTATTAACAGCAACTCATATTGATATTGATAGGCTATTGAGGAGGTTTTTGTGCTAGGTGTATCCACTGACTTTGGGTGGAGTGGAAGACCCCATTGTTGCTGAACCATCAGGACAGGGTAGATAGGGAGAAAATAAGGAAAAAAATGCAGCTCCTTTTTATTTCCTCCTGAGGCTATTTCTGGAGTGCTAATGGAATGTTTGCTCTACATAAGGGATAGGTTCATATTAATGACCCGATTCACATAGGGAATTAATCCAACAACAAATTTACATTTATGTAGCACCTTCCATGTCGGAAGGGTGTCCCAAGGCACTGTAAGTAATGTAAAAATTATAATGTATTTTACCACAGCTAAAACAAGCTGCCACAATGAGAAAGAGGCTATGAATTACATGAAAGCGCAAAAGGAGGTCATTCAGCCCATCGTGTCTGGGCCTACTCCTTCAAGAGCAATCGTTTCAGGCCTACTTACCTGCCCTTTTGCCCACCGCTGTAGCTGACTCTTTTTAAGGTACTTAGTTCCTTCTTGAAAGCTAATCTGGATTTTGCTTCAACCACTGCTCCCGGCAGACCATTCCGTATCCTGATTACTCCGTGTGTGTGCGTGCGTGTGTGTGTGTAAAAAAAAGTCTCCAACCTCCCCACTTTGCTCATTTACTATCTTAAACTGATGCTGTCTAGTCACTGACTCATCGACCATTGGAAATAATTTCTTTCTATTGACTATCAAGACCCCATTGCTTCCAGTTAGATGCAACTGACTAAGTGCCCGCAAAACCTTAAAAAGTCACCAGGCTGAACCACCAAAAGAGGATATTCCAGACTCTACTAATATCACCATAAAGTTGCTGACTCTTGGAGTTTAGATTTAGATATACAGTACATGAAAGCAGTGGTGAGGCACGTTTGGAGGTGGATATATTATTGACTGTA